GACATACAAATGTTAGCTATGCTTAATATTGAAATTTACTGATATGAATACTACGATGGTCGCTATAGATTTCTTCTTGTTTATTCATAAAAGAAGTGAGTGGTTATTTGTCTTTGAAATTTATGCATCAATTATGTATTAGGCTATAAAAATGTCACAGTGATAGTACCCTGGTCAGAAACGTCAACAAACAGTTGTATAACTGACTAACAAATAATCATAGTAGAAATGAATTAAGCGCATATTTTTGATGAATATTCACAAGTTACATGAATGTATGATATGTGTTATATCCCGATGAGAATTATGAATGGTAACTTTTGAGAACTATTTATTGAGCAATGCAATACATATATTTTTTTGATTAAGATCATGAATCAATTGATGTTATACCACCATTGGAAACCTGGAAGCACTGGACGGCCGTTTCGTCCTAGTACGGGACTCCTCAGCAGTGCGCATCCACGATCCCGCTCCCCGCGAGATTCGAACCCAGGACTTATCGGTTTCGCGCCAGGCGCTTAACCAACTAGATGCGCGCTGCTTAGGAGCCCCATACTAGGACGAAACGGCCGTCCAGTGCTTAATAAAAAAAACTTAACAATCTCCACAACCCTCATACTGATACATATATTTTTTATTGTACAATTATTAAGTAGCTAAACTATGCATATTCATATTCCTCTTATTATAAGCTTTATTTTGACCCAGAGACTATTATTATACGATTTACTGTTCTTGAGTTATACCTAGTCTATTAATTAGTGTCTCCCACATTCACAGCTACTTTTGGCTAAACCTTGTACGAATGTTATTTCCAATTTTGTGGTGTGATGTGGTCTGTTCGATTTGTATATAAACCCAGTATGTTTCAAATACATGATTCATATAGCGAAGGCAGGGCTAGGCAGGAAAAAAGACTGACAATAACTCTTGACTACTCGTACAGGTTTACGTGCAATGGTCCGAACGATAAATCACTGTTCTCTAATTGGCGGTATCATTACGTTATATATTATTATGGCATAAGGACACAAGTTATAACAATAAGGAATTTGCTGTAATACTGTATAATCTTTTTTTTGTCAAAAATACTTTCCTGTGGCTAAGTTTACGATAATGAATAAAATGAATGTCTATGGATGATTAATTATTAGTACAGCGATTTCTTTTCTAATTTCAATGTATATGTCATATTTCAGTGGGAATTCATGAAAAACTAAAGACAACATACTGGAATTCTAGATTTTTTCCTTGAATGAACTATTAGCACAGTTTCGAATTGTGTAATATTAGTAGAATATATGAAAAATTGTAGCTGACACAGTGTTGGAGAGATTCAGAAAACTCTTCGAAAACAACCAACAAAGGCTCTGAAAACATTGAGAAGCATCTTATCTTATCAGAATTCACTAGAAGTTTTGCCAGAAATATATTGAAAGTAAAAAATCACATGTCGAGTTTCTACTTAGATGATTAACTATACTGCTACTCTGTTTAGTAGCGTTCCAGAATTTTCCTGGAACCCAAGGTTATTTAAAATACTATAAAAACCCTAGATTTTCTGTACATAAACGAACCTTTGGAGTAAAGTGTTTCTTCCATATTTCGCGCTTATTCTCTCGTGTTCAAGTCGTTGTGTAGATATAGCCAGGGGGTTACTAGAAGAACTTGCGAACCGAATCTAGCGTTCAATTAGATTTATCAACAAACAAAATTCACAAAACATATACTGACTGATGTTGTCCTAACGTTTCTAATTAAATCATGGTGGGATTAAGCTTAAACTCTAAACATTCTATTCGCTGTCTGAAATGACGAATTTGATTTAAAACATATAAATTATACCTTAACAAGTTTCTTGTTTAACTTATATCAACTCCATAGTTTACATGGAGAATCAACCTTAGTTAGATAATCATTGGTAATCAGGAAGCATTGAATAGTTCTTTCATCATTAGATAGGAAAGCTCAACAGTGCAAGTATCCCACCAGACTGAAGATAGAACCCAAAAACTCTGCATCTCGTTTCACAAGCATATGTTGATGCCGCTTGTAGATAACTGCTTCACAACCGATATGGTTAGGCTACCCTGGCAATGGCTTCACAATAAAACTCTGTGAATTATCACTAGAAATTGGTCAAAAGTAATCACATAATTATTATTAGTGTAGTGTAGTCTGTGGAGATTATTGGACTGCATATCAGTTTATGTCAATTCATCAAATATCTCTAATATATATGTGTTTATTGCCACGATATATGCTGGTACCTGAATGAAAGGTTAATTTATTCTACGCTAGATAATATAGAGTATCTGATTAGGGAAGCTCTCAATTTAAACAACGTATTCATTCACATTAATTAGCAATAATTGTTCTGAAAGGAATGACAAATGTAGTGCTTTTTTTCAAAATTCAGAAACCTACCTTGCTGGTTGCAACAATGTGTACTGTAATTTCGAACCTACGGCGAGGGATACATCAGTGCAATACCACAGAATCATCTCACTAATGATCAATAATAAGTATAGAAGTTCAACTGTCAGTTTCGTTTTAATTTCATTCAATCATCCATTGTTAATTGAACCTATAAACTTACACAAGAAATTACGATACGATTCATGACAAAGTTTTGTATAATTCAATTTACATGAATGCAAATAATCTAAACAGTTTAACTTGATCAGTATCAGCTTTTGTTGAAACATTTTCTGATGGCGAATAATCATCTTCCAATAATTCTTAACTGATCAATGAAAGTTTCTCATCAAAGTGAAAATATCTCACATTTTTAAAGATGCATTTTTCTCTATAAAAAATCAAGTATTATCATACGTATCATAGTAGTAGAAAGTCTTGGGTTCAATATCATAAAAAGTCATAGGTTCAGATGGCTCATGATTGACCATCTTATCCATAATATTTTATATCAAAAACCATCTTCATACAGATGAGTTGAAGAAGTCACGAACTCCTGTTATATAGATGTGAACATGTGAGAGTGGCGGGATAGATTATTACATATTTTACTAGTGTATGGTTGCTAAATCATTTGTTTTGATAATGTCTTCATATTGCTCTAAATATGTTATATCTAGAAGGTTGTTCTTGATATACCGCGTATAACGTGAGCACTAGAACGCCAGAACCCTTCCAAGTCGCAATGAGAGGACAGAAGACTAATGAAAGGAATATTATTCCCAGACAGTGTCAAATATAGTACAAAAGTGTCAGGTATTTATAGTTTTTTAGTAAGAATGAAATCACACTACAGTCCTCCAATCCTCATACAAGGGGTTATTAGCAATGTCCAATCGGGAAGCTATACGTAAAAATTCTAGAATATTTTTCCAAAAGGTGATTGGATGGAATATCTTCGGCTCCTCCTAAGCCTCCTCCAGCTTTCTCGAGTTCACCCGTGGTCCGTCGTCACAATAAACTTTCATTTGGGTGATTAGTTGTCGTTATAAATGTTTCATCATCTCAGACTTATCAACCTTCTTTTTAAAATTATCTGCGAAACTTGATTTTATACAAATCAGGATTTCTTATTTGAGGTGTATTGTGACCAGGTAATTAATGTATGTAAATGTTAAATCAGAACAAAGACTGAAGGAATGTTAATTAATTTGTGGATTCTCTCTCTCTCTCACTATATATATTTATATATGCTATATATAATTATGAAAGCACTAGATTATTATACTTGTATATATTCTTTTCTTCATAGGCTTTCGGTTAACTGATCAATTACTATTATACAATGTACTACTCTTAATCAGTCCGCAGTTTATCATTTACATTCTTACCAAGTCACAGTCACTTTCAGTTTGTTCAAGAATAGTTGTTGTTCATTTTATGGTGATATGCGTTTCGGTATGTCTGTCTATAAACCACGTCTTTTTGAAATATAAATATAGTAGAAGCCAATTGTGGACTTTTATAATCAAGGGTGGAGCAGAGAAAATCCATGGAATCGTGGATCAATAGTAACTAGCTGTTGACTCAAGGTTATTAGTCATGGTCTGATGTGCATTGGCAAAGTTCGAGACACTGAGCCATAGAGTAAATTATGGACACATAATAAACCCCATTAGATTCATTATTTTGATTGGTGATCTGTCATGTGACATTGGTCAGTGATCACATGATATAAAGTAACAATTCTTTACGTTTTGAGATTCATAACTGTAGAATGCTTATCGGCTTGCTATCTTCATCTTCTGACTGTTTACTAGGAATAGAAGAAATTATACTGAACTAGTAGAAATGAGATTTTACCGGTTATATTTTTAGTCATTTATTTAAATGATGAAAGACAAGGCGAATGGCTTGTTTATAACATAACCGAACTCTAGTGATCGGTGGACTCCATAATCTTATTATTCGTTTAAGTGAACATACCAAAGAGGCTAACATTTTCAAAATGGTCAGTAAGGGGTTGTAGAGGTTGTTAAATCATGAACGGATCTTAGATAGACCAACATTAAAAACCTGGAAGAACTGAACGGCCATTTGGTCCTAGTAAACATTAACACCGTTAAATACCGGACCAGTGGTCTAAAGAATAAGCGTCCGTGCGTATGACCCAAAATTCATGGCTATATTATCGTGTAGCGCGATCGAAGATGTGTATTGTTAAGGAGTCGCATACTAAGACGAAACGGATGTCCAGTGACTCCATGTTTTCAATAGTGATCTAGTTTAGATCGATTGTGAAAATACTACAATCTCTATAAATCTCCATATTGAAGTTTTTTCGATCAAAAAATAATAATAATGACACGTTAGGAAAGGAGAAGCACGAAACTAATATTGTATGCTGTAAACAAATTATAAAATAAATACCAAATATTATGTACATAAAAGGGGAACAAAAGAAAAGTAACCAATAATCAATACAATTCAGTAGTAAGTATTAAAAATCAATTATTACACCAATTGTTATCATTTTGAAAGTAGACAAAATTCATTGATTGATTGATTGATTGATTGATTGATTGATTGATTGATTGATTGATCAATATGGATATCGTAATGAATAAAATTAATTAATTATTGTCTATCTTTGCTAATTGAAATGAAATAAAAGGAAACAAAGGAATGTTTAATGTTAAAAGTAAGAGAATATTGTCTCTCTTTCTCCTTTTCGCTCTCTCTCTCTCTCTCACTCTCTCTTTACTATATGGATATACATCACTGGTGGAATGTATTCATGTATACTGTACGTATATACATGAATGGTTAATATTGTTATATGAAATATTCTATTTCATATTGTACTCTTTTTGTTTTTTAAAAAGAAACCCAGTTTCTAATTCAATCAAATGTGAATGACAATAAGCGTAGATTGATGATCATCTTATATTCATACAAATAATTCATATATATCATATTACAGTTATGTAATTCCAAATGAATTGTGTTTTATGTCTAAAATGATATAGGGTATAGGAAGGAACGATACATAGAAAGAAAACAACGAAAAAAAAGGAAGAAGAATAAACTACTTGAAATAATATGATAATTATTTTTCTGTTGATGTTGAAATCACTGTCACTGAACCACTTGATATAGTTGAAGCATGTGAACTCATTCGACTAACTGCGGTACCACTACTACGATTTTCATCATTTACACAATTAATTAATATTTTAGAATTATTTTCATGAATAATATTTTCTAAATTTTCATGATGTGATGTAACATAACCAATATCTGAACTACTAAATGATGTCGGTGATGGTGATGATGAAAATGATGATGATGAAGATGTTGTTGTTGAATGTAATGGTGTAATAAATGGTTGAGATGATAATGGATGTTTACATGTGGATTTATTCATTTGTTTATAATCATTAATTGATTGAGGTGAATTGGATTTTTGTATTGTATTCTGGCTAAATTTACGTTTTGTATTAGTAATATAACCGGCTGTATTAAATTCTGGACGATGTACAACTGGACATGGAATTCCTGTGGTAATATCGGTTGTATCGTCCTTTATTTTATTATTATGTTTACGTAATGAAGATGATGATGAATTGGATGAAAAGGATAATAATGAAGAATCTGTTGAAATCATACTCATATCACTTTCTGATCGTGGCATACTACTATTATTAGTATTTATATTGTTATTGGTATTGTTATTAGTATTATTATTATTATTACGTGATCGGTGATCAGTAGACGAATGGATTGATTTACTGGATTTTGTCGTATGATTATTACCATTATTGATAGCGTAATCATTAGTACTATGGTTAGATGATGATTTTTTGTGAGGTTTCAATGGAACACTCTCTTTGCTACTAGACGATACTGAAATAATTTTAATTGGTGCAGTAGACTCATTTGTTTTACTACTACCACTATTAGTAGTAGTAGTAGTAGCATGACTACTTACTGATGGATCATTTTCGAATGGTTCATAAAATGATTGAGTATAATTAAATGGACAGTCCATGGAAAGTTGTCTTTTATAAGTAATATTATTACCATTACTATTATTATTATTAGTAGTAGTAGCAGTAGAACTCAGTTTGCTTTGTCGCATTCTATATGTATCAGTATGCAGTAAAGTAACATCTGGTATTTCAATGGTCGATGTCTGTGACCGAAATCTACGATGAAATGGTTTTTGTTGTCGTGATATAGGCGATGTAGTAGTAGGAGTACTAGGAGTGGGAGTCGGCATTCTTGTTTCGTCATGTAATCGATTATTACTATTATTACTATTATTAATATTATTATTATTATTGTTATTATTATTATGACTGATTAGTTTTGAGTGATTAGAATTATTCTTTGGCAGATTCATATTATTATTATTATTATTATTGGCAAGTTTTGATCGAACATCCTGATGTGTTAATTGTTGACCTCTTAATGGGACAGGTGGTGCTTCTAGATAAATTTGATTTCTTGGCAATGGGCAAGGAATACTAAATTTATCATTAGAAATTGTTGCTTTATTTGTACTCGGCGGACAAGATGTATTTCTTGAACGCCTAGATAATAATGATGATGATGTTGTTGTTGTTGAAGGAGTTGTCTTTTTCATAGATTCTTGTTTCTCTACTGATACTGTTGAAGTTAATGATGGATTTGTTAAAGTTGTTGTTGTAGCTGTTACAGAAAATGATAATGGTAATACTATGCTTGATGTAGTTCTTGATCGTATAATATTTTTTAATTCTGTTGCAATCGAATCTGTTGATGATAAACAATTTGTTTGTTTATTTAGTTTACCAGTAGAATTAGGTGGTCCTGTTTGATCAGGTAATGCTAATTGATTAAAAAAACTATGTTTTTTTTTATGCATACGTCCAGCACCTCTTCGTTTCATTAATGATGACTGTGATGGGTTTTCCATGTTTAACTGATGATTAGATTTATTGTTTATTGATGAATTTAAAGAAGAAGAATTATTTACTACTATCGGTTCAGTATGTTGATGTTGTTCACTTGTTTTCAATAATGAATTACCTAATTTTTCATTCATCAATGAATTGTCCACTTCCAGAGAACTAGAAGTAAGAGAGGAGATAAATAAAAACAGTAGGAGCTGAAGATGATGGTTACAACTTGTCAAAAAAAATACATCCAGTAATGAGGTGGAATTCAACTAAAGCAAAATAAAATTGTTTGACAGTAGGATAACCGTTTTTCTTATATACATATTTTCCACAACTGTTAGGTTCGAAGCTAACACGAGTTCACTTAATCTGCGAACGAGAACAAGACTCGGTGACCAAAGATCAATAAGCTAGCTATTGATGCGTCCCAGCCCCGCTAACTAGAAGGAGAAGTCCAAGCTTGGAATGGAGAAGTATATTTTGCAAAATAGCCAGAAATGAGTGATAACAGTGCAAAACCGTCCTTGGGGAGAGTTACCAAATACCATATTAAAAGACCCAGCGAACCAATAGCATTTAAGATATTTCCCAGTGGGAAATACGACATGAAGGTGACAAGAGCGCCTTTGGCGCGAAGACGAAAAAATTCAAATTTTCTAAATAAAATTACAAAATTAGGTTTTTTCCCAAGTGAGTTCTGGGGATCTAACGTCCTCAACAACAATGTAACAAAAATAACTGAATTATTATTAAAAAGGGAAAACTTGAAAATACCAGACCAGATTTCCATTTTATACAAATATCTCTCCCGAGGTTGATCAGCTAGGCAAACACGGTATTCATTACCATTCTGTGGTCAACTAATCGTAAATACATCTCAATCCTACAGGAGGTCAGTTACCACCTGGATAGGACAGTGGTAACATATAATACTGTTAAACTGGTTGACACTGGATTGAGTACACCAGGAAACACAAAACACCTATTTGACATGAAACCCAAGTCTAGGGTTTCCTGTCGACGACCTTTAACTCCGTAGGATTTAAGCTAGTTAGTTAAAGCTGATTAATTGTAAACTTTTTAAACAAAAGTTCTAAAATTTTTACATAGCATTTGTCCCAAGTTTACATCATTTAAAAATTGGGTTGCGATAGGAAACTTCGTTTTCTTAATATGAAACTCCTCAACAATTAGCATTCTCGACCTCACACGGGAATAAACTTAAGATCATCACGTATGGCAGAAAAAACTCTCAACTTTTAAAACCATAGAAATAATCGTCAGTGGATATTGAGACTGTGGTGCGTGCTACTTATATTGATATAAGTAGTATATAACGTGAGTCAAAAGTACGTAATGTCTGGCAGCAGAAGACGGAGAAGATCAAGAAAAGAAGAGCGAGAAAACAATGGAATTTGTTAGAAACTGCATGAGCAATGAAATGCGAGACAATGGATTGATGTTTGCAACAGCAACAGCCCGGTTTGATATGATAGAATGATATTTTGCAAATTAACGATTTACTATATGGTTTTTCTATTTTATCAAGTAATTCTGTAATTTGTCCTAAATACAATTTGGCTGTCCTCACCCGTGTTCTTCACTACAAAACAACTGTGGGTATTCTTCTTTTGTTTGTTTTTGTTTTGTTAGCCCTAACAATATATGAAAGCGTGATTAGTAGATGTTATCATGATTAAAAAGGTAATCACTGCACAACAGTTTAGATGTAATATATATCTTAAAACAATGATTCCATTATTTGTAAAATAAGATTATCATCGCTCAACAGAAGTTCAAATGGGGGAAGAGGTGAAAAAATTGTTCATTAATGAAAGGACCTAGTTAGAACAATAAATTGCCATTCGTTTTGTCTATTGATGTTCTGTTTTTTTAAAAAAAAATTTGTTTAGTACTTGAAATGTAATTTAAGTTTAACCAAGGAAAATGGTATATACATTGATGAATATAATCCATAGAACTTACCTTATCTGTGGTGGTATATCTTCATATTTACAAAATTCATGTACATAAAATAGAAAATAGAAAAAAAGTAGGCGAATAAAATTATTGTATCATAGTTTTTACCATAAAAAGTCAAGTCTTATACTAAATAGTATCATGAATATGATGTATGAGCGAGGATGATAATGATTGATTGTTTGTGTAGTCAGATTTGTAGATAATTTGACAGGTGTTAGACGAGTTATACATTCTCCTATCTTTATTATTACCATTGATTGTTATTGGATTGTGTCGGTTTTTGGTGAGGAAATATATTTACGTCTTAATAGACAGGAAACTATGCGCTTAATCGATAGAATCCGATCAGCATGAAAAAACCTTAAAAAAACGTGACATTGACGATTACTTAGTGGCCAATCATTTGTAAATATTTCTCAGCCCGAGAGGAGACCAGTAGCTACCTGAATTTCTCAGTGATAAAGTTCTACCTAAACTATGGGGTCACGTTAGGATCCCAATTCGGGCATCAGTTCGGTCAAGAATCTAACTATACGCTGCTGACACAAATATCAAATTATAACATTTCATTCCTCTTAATACTTACTTGAAACAGAATATCCTCTTCGTGAAGGATGTTGTTTCGCTGTTTTCCATTCAGAATGGAAATCATAATCTTGTTTAGAAATTTTATCATCATCTGATGAGTCAGTATTTGTTGTTGCTGTTGATGTGGTAGTGGTGTTTTGAACTTTTGTCTTATTATTAGAATCTTTTAGAAAATTTCCCCAAATATTTGAAAAGTGTTGATTCAATTCCATCTTAACATTGCTAGTGCTTAATAAGAAATTTGTTACTGCCGGTTCCAACAGGTAAGTTATAATTTGTGTCGTTATCATAGAATCAGATAATGCTAATGGAGAATTTGGTCGTTGAATTAAATTTGGACCCCATACAACTGCCAAATTTCTAGCTGACATACGGTTTATTTCTTCATTATCACGAATATGTGCAAGTAAATAAATTAGCAAGGCCAATAATGTCTGATTAACTTTGGGAAGATTACGAATCAATCTGAAATTTGATATATATGAATCAAATGAAAAGAGATATATGCTCATAGAAAGTATTAATCAGTAACAAATAGCAATTTTTAAAAAAATACTCGAATAACTGGTAATCCTTAGAGGTAGTCAGTTGGAAACTGTGAACCTAGATTGTGTGCTAGTTGACACACGTCAATTTAGCAGGACGTATCAGTAACCTTGAGGAGAAAGTTGCTCCCCAGTGGATTCGAAGCCCAGTCATTCAGTTTCCGGTTTTGAGATGCTTCAACTCACTCTCTCTCTCTCACACACACACTCACTCATTCACAACGTAGAACCTGGTGGATGTGTGCAACAGCTGAAGTTGCCGCACCATATTAGCACAGAAAAAAAATCTCGTGACAAATCCCAGAGTAAAAGTAGTAACATTGTCAATAATGCTAGAAAGGATTAGATGTAGAAAGAAAGTACAGAGAGATTTCAGGACTAAAGATCTACAGAAAGACTAACAGCCTATGCATCTACGCCATAACTAGTTATAGTATCTTTTTTCAGTCATAAATTTGGAATGGAAATTAAAAGAAAAAAAGAAAAAAAATCAACTCTAACCTTTCAAGAACCTGTAAACGTTCTGATGCTGAACTAATTTCAGTTAAACTGGCCCACTCATCCCAATGAGAGTCGATTAATAAATGACCAGGTATTTCACAGAAAAACCTCTATTATATGAGAAAAAAGAAAACAAAAAGAAAATGCTCTTATTGAAATGAATATTAATACAGATTGATTTCATTTTAGTCATGAAGAAAGAAATAGAATACTTACTCCCGTTGCCCCTCATGGAGGAGCATAGGTCGCCTATCAGCATTCTCCATTGAACTTTCCCTCTTGTTGATGGTACGATAGTTTCTTTCCTCTTGGAACTGAAGGACATTATACAGTCACAAATAGAACTTATGCGATGCAGGTCTCAAGATTGTATTAAGCAACCTATCACCTCAAAGTTATCAAGTATATTGAGACAACTCTCACTGTCCCCTCATTATTAAGTACAGACTATTACTGCGAAGACAACACAACCACATGACACATTTGAAGATGACATTCATCACTTTATCACATCAATTGTGGTACCCGCAAATAATGAATAGCTGTCTCGTCTACGTATGGGATTCATCAAAACTAAAAATTCCTAGATCTTTTCAGAGCACACTTAACTATTAATTCACCGGATTGATGAGCAACAGTGATCATTCTCAACATTACATCATTTGTAATATTGTGTGACGAACAACCAATGATATTGGTGATTACTGTTGTATTCACTGTTACATATACTACAATGAAACAGATATCTAGAGCTCCGAAATTTCAGTGCTACCTCAATCAATGTCAATCAGTGATGAATTACATCCGTCGAACGCAATAATAATTATAGTAATCATACATACAAGTGGAGTAAACGAGAGTTCAGGTGAGGTAAACTAATTTATTACTGTGTGCAAAAGTACACAATGTCTTCTTGAAATATGGAAATCATACATTTTCCTTCAGTTGTCCAATACATACTCCATGATTCTGTCAATTCTGTTGTTATTCCAATGCCTCTTCATTCCGCTTTCTCTTCAATTCAATCGTTTTCTGGCGGGCAACTTACTTCCGATTGCTGCTACATGCTGTTTATTTCTGTCAACACAAGTAGTACATACTACACAGGTACAGATGTATATATAATAACTGTATATTTACGTAAACTCACCTTTAAAACACACGATGCTAAAATTGGACTACAATTGTTTGGTGTAATCATTTGAATATTTTCATCTACACGTGCTCTCATCAATTCAATTTGACTATGAACAGCTGTACGTCGAAATATTCCTTCAACATTTACCCCATTATAATATACAATAGCAAATAGATTCTATTAAAAATGAAGGTAACAATAGCAAAAAAAGAAAACTATCACCATTTACTTTCTTTTACTGATGACAAGAAAAGAGAAAAACTCGGTAAAAGCATACTACTTTGAATTCTAATTACAGTTAAGTTACAAACTAATGTTAGTTGGATAAACATTCGACACTAGTAAGTAATGATTTCATGCAGAAGTGAATTTCGGAAAGACTGAACTTAAGAAGGTATTCAATGAAAAAAATATTAGTATGCAGGTGTGAAGTTTGTTAAGTTTCATTAAAATCATGAGCCGATCAGTTTTAGAGCACCGTTAAAAACCTAGAAGCACTAGATGGCAGTTTCGTCTTAGTGTGAGACTGCCCAGGAGTCAGCATCCATGACTCCACATGCGGGAGCTGAACCGAGGACCGTTGAATGCTAACCCGGTGGTCTGGGTGTTGGGTGTCCACGTGGGAGACTGGTTCGATCCTCACGTTCGGGGTCGTGGGTGCCGGCTGATGGGTAGCCCTATACCAGGACGAAACGACCTACCAGTGCTCTCAGGTTTCTAATGGTGGTCTAATATTGTTCGCTTCATGATTTCAATGTAAAATCATTGTTTGGAATTTTGTCGTGTAACTGTTACCTTGATCTTATATTTGCCTATTCGTTAGTTTTCATTCAACCCATAAATTATTATATGCCTAATTGTTTCAGAATGATCATAAACTAATTATTTTTCTATTAGTCTGCTCTGTACCAATTATGAATGAGTTTTTTTAATATCAGGATTTTCGATTCGTGTTGCTGTGTGATCAGATAAACTAGGTATAACACTGTATGATTTTTGAATCATGACTAAGAAGAGTACAAAACAAATTGAATGTCTTGTATCTTGGTCTTCTTAATGGACAATAGGTTGGAAAGAGTTGAAAGACCGATATTTGTTAGAGACCTGATTATTTTTTCATTGACCATTGTGTCCTTTTGTGAATAGAAGGCGATCTAATTAATAATCACACTAGGATATATAACTGCTTACACAATAGCGCCATGATTACACGGACCACAATATAGCTCAATAATCCACTTCATTTTTGCTTTACATCAAATAGACAGCTGTTTCATCGTAACATAGGGATCCCCAGCAGTGTTCACTCATGAAATTACCCGTGAAATGAACCCAGATTAGTTCTTGACACTTAACTTATTAAGTTGACATCCAATGATTTGCATTTTCAGCTCTAATCAACTCATGATACTGTAGAACCACCCAGACCCAGTAGCTCAGTGTATAAAGTATCAGCATTTCATTTGAAGCGTACTTGGTTCCAATCTCACTATTCACATCAACACTGTGGGCTGCAAGTTTATCCAAGTGATTTGTCCAAAACAGGTAGAAATGAGCTAGCAAGGATTGTGTTGCTAGACGTATTCTACCTATTTTGCCAAACATGCTACAAAAGTTTGTATTGAGGCAATTTGCACAGGCTCCTTACATCCCAATAGAGATTGATTAATTGCAGTTCTCATCATACACAACGAGTAAATATAGTGATAATCAAATAGTGTCCCATCAGAAAAAACAATTTCTGAATAAAATGTGTTTCGAATAGTAATAGAGGTTAACTCCATCTTATCAAACAATTATCTTATCACTGATTGAAATCATGAGTCAATTGAAGCTAGACCACCATGGAAAACCTGGAAGTACTGGACGACCGTTTCGTCCCAGTATGAGGCTCCTCAGCAGTGCGCGTCCACGATACCGCACCCCTGGGTTCGAATCTCGCGGGGTGTGGGATCGTGGACGCGCACTGCTGAGGAGTCTCATACTAGGACGAAACAGCCGTCCAGTACTTCCAGGTTTTCCATGATGGTCTAGCTCCAATTGACTCATGATTTCAATCAGTGAAATTTTTAAAATCTCCACAAACCCCCTTCTGATAATTATCTTATCAGTAAATTAATACTGAAATGAAAAGTTGTGTATAAACGTCAAATTATACTGTTCATTTTAAATTCTTAGTGAAACTGTTATGACGGGACGAATATTGGGAAAGTTGAAATTCGGTGCTATTTACCGGATTATTATTATCTCTTTACTGTATAATTGGTAGACAACATTATTGTTGCAGCTAAATGTTCCCTTTATTGTGTAAACTTTCAATGGGTCTAGTGCTATTCTTTAATTATCGCTGACTAATCTTGTACTGCTTTTTTCGCCCTCCACCACTCCTGGTACAATTATGCTTAAAGTGTGTGTTCTTATTTGGTGTGCTATCCTGTGTAGTCAGACATTATTTCATACAATTCGAGTTTTTATCTAATTGTATAACATAGAGAAATAACTCCTTCTGTAGTGCTTCTAGGGTTACTGCCAGTCCCAACCTCGGATAAAGAAGATAGGTTGGGGATGGGGTTAGCAACCGTACCACATAGAAAACGACCTTGCTAAACAAAACGCTAACCATAGATAACTAATCTGCTTCCTACCTACTTCCGTTTTAGGAGGGGCCGAGGACTAATCAGCGTTAAGATCTTGATTGTTGTCCGTTGGTTAATGTATGCATTCAAGAAATAGGTCACCGGTCTGACTGGCAATATACTACGTGATATCGATTAGAATCTCTAGCGACAGCAAAATCGCACAGCTTTAAAAAAACAGATAACTAATTTACCACTAAAGATTCCGGTAATTGAGAATCAGGCCAACATTGTTCAGGTAGACGTCCAAAAATTTGCCCACATTGTATTTCTTGTGCTGTACCAATTTGAAGTGAACTAGTACTAATTGCACCACGCAACGGTACATTAGTACTAGTATTTTGTTTGCTAACATTTGTATTATTATGGTTTAAGAATATACTGGATTTAGTCATCATATTATTGTTCTGTGTCATATCATTTCGACGATTTCTTGATGCTGATGCTGAAGATGATTTCGATGTGGAACGTCCACGTTCTTGTCTCACATATTCTGTAGATTTCATATCAGATTTTGTTGAAACTTCTAATCAGGAATGAAAATTACAAATTATATGCATATCTTTGTGTTTTGTAATGGAAAAATAACAACAGACAAACAAATAATCATGTTTATCTCACTTATGAAAATGAATTCGTTGAAAACGCTTAGCATATGCACATATATATTTAAACGTGTTTATAATTTTCAATGTTGAAGTTAAAATATGATTGATGTGATTAAAATATGCATGTATATGTTGTGCGTATAACTGATTCTAAGAGATAGAATCAATCATGTACATATGACTTATTGAGGTCGGATAACGTCTAGAAGTAGGTAACTACAATGTGAGTTTTTTTCTGTTTAGGACTCATCGGCTGGATGTACTTGTCACACCTCAGTATGTTGATGTTCATACTAAAACTTATTCGAATCCAATACCTTTTACTCTAAATGTTAACACGGTATACAGCAGCTGACAAGTTTCAAGTTAGGTGAAACGTGTGTCTTGTATTCCACTGTTAACCAATATGCGACCTGATTAAAGCTAGTGATTAAATGTTAATATCGAGGTGATCTGCTTAGAATGCATATAGGTTAATAGAAACTAATTAATTACAATCTTTAGTATCAATTACGGGAAGATACAAGTCCACAACAGATATTCTTTATTTGGTTAAAATAATTTTGCCGTACAAATAGGCAAATTAGGAAGAGAGGTTTAATAAAGAAACTAATGTCTAATTGAACAAGGGAAGTAAGGAATCATTCAAAGCAAAAAAATCGTTACACACTTATTCTGTCCTAGTATAAAACTTGTTAGGAATGTGTACATTATTGTAAAATCAATCAGTCACCCAGCACAGAATCCAAGAAATCAAGACGAATGAATTACTTTTAAAACATGAATAGGGAATCATCCACTGATTTATTTCTCATAAGAACTTTAATCAGTTCGAGATTTACCGTGATTGTCAGTCACAGTATCATCGTCAATGGTTAAACACCAACCAATCTCGAAGTATGTGCTTTTCTGTATAATCTACAAATATAATCAAGGAATTGCTGATGAACATTTCGTGATTTAAAAAAAAGTTTAATTCTTCAGCTAGCAGCAGTATATAGGTTAAGTTTTATTTCATAACCATACTATTATAAAAGTTTCGACTGTTAATAGTATGGTTTGAGCTACTTATATCCACATTAGTATATAACGATGGTCAAGAATAGAATGTATTTCAGTAGAAGATCGAGAACAGAACAACGGGAACGGAAAGCAATTGGTATGAAATACACGAACAATGAACCGATGAACCGATATTTGCAAAAGAACAGTCAAGTTTGAGGCAATTGATTGATATTTTGCAAATTAAGTATTTACTGTATGATTCTTAGATTTTAGTGAGATATTCTGTAATTTCATGTTCAAATACATTCGATTGCCCCACTCGTATTCTTGTTCATTACAATAGTGCTATAATAATAAATCATTCTTGATAATATTTTTGTTACGTCCTTGACCCGTCTACCTAATAATATTACAGGGGAAGATTTGTCTCGATCTAGGTTAAGGTCTTGACACGATAGGTTGACTAGTTCAACCTTATGGCTAGAAATGCGCGTTTCCGAATTGAGACTAACGAATTTAGGCAGAGAGACGAAAAAATTCCTATCACTTTATTAGTTGAAAAGCGAGAGAGATGATGAGTCAATTGGAACATCACTCGATTCCTGATTGCCGATTTCCGATTCAGATAAGTGTAAAAAGATACGTGAATCAACAGATGACTAACATGACCACAACGCACAAAGTATCCAGAAAAATGCAATTATGTTGAAACTAAACGTTAAGGTAGAAAAACAGAGTGCAGAAAGTTATATTCAAATCACAATAGCTTGAAATGGAAAAGAGTATAGCAGTGGATCTTGCATTAAACGACAGCTTGTGATTGGTAGTATAACTTGAGGATAAAACTAAATTTACTTTACAAACCTTGAATCAAGTGAAATAATGTCCCCCAAAATAGCTTCTGTTGTTCGTCATGGTTCATTTATTTTTCTACATACACCCATTTGAAAACTAAAAACAGTTGAATAGCTGTCTAATCTCAATGTGACATTCCTCCTCACTACTCAATGAAATTCATAACTATGACTGATTTCAGTAAGAATTAAAACTAGGATCTCTGATTATTGTGACCAGTCTATGATGAATGTATTATTCAGAGGCAAAAAATCTACTGAATGAATTAATTAGGTATATCTCACTTTGATAATTTTGATAATGATGTTGATTATCTTCAGTTGAATAATATTTGTCTACAGGACGAAGTACAAAACTAATTTTAATTTGATCTCTTGAAATAATGTAGTCATTACCGTTGTTATGGTTATGATCAGTTGTTCTATTCTCCGATTGTGGTGATAAAGAGACTTTCTTTATTAGATCCAATATATCCTTATAGTGATTAGTATTACTGTCTGGACTATTATTCCCGGTGGTATTATTTATATTAGTAGTATTGCTGGTAGTGTTAGAAACAGTTGTTGCTGATTTAGGAGTACTGAATGAAGAATCCGTAGTATTCAGTTGAACACTAGAGAGTGCTATCAAGAATGGGTTTTCTGGACCTGTAGATGGAAAGAAATATATTTTATTTTATGAATGTATTCAAAGGGAAAAGATCATTTAATTATTTGTATGTTGTGTTCATTATAGATTTATTCCAGTTGAGGTACCATTGAAACCAGAAAGCATTTTACATTTGTTTCGTTCTAGTATGGGACTGTTCAGAACTGAAAACCAATAAGGTGCCAATATGGATTGAACCCAGAACATTCAGGATTCGTGGATGACACTTAGCCACTAGAACCATTGAGCCGACCTCTAGTAGTACAATTTTAACACCAACCAATTAGCGATATAGTGCGATGATAATTTTATGTCTTTGATGGTAACTGTTTCCCAACAGACATGTCCAAAATCTTACTACTCATGACTTTTCAATCAGTTCACGATATTATGATATATTTAAATATTTGCCACAAGATTATACATTTGTATAGAAACTGCTCACCTGAAATCAAGTACTCATATTTGCATTGATAAAAATATTAGGGTAAAGGAATAAGTCTAGTTTATAAGGCGAATAATTTGCTGGGATATTTAGTGTGTACTATCGTTTTCTACTCAAACTACATATGTAGTGGGTTAATCATTCGGCAATTTCGCTGCTCCTGTGAAATTCAATCTTTCTATGTTCCATCACTGTTGTCTATAAAGGATAGCTCACATCCATTGGGAACAATATTTTAGTAATACCGTGGTCCGACAATATGTATTTTGACAGAGTAGTTCGATTAATATCACCACCTTAAAACACCGAATTCGAGTGAAATGGCCACGTTTTACGTATGCTATTCCACCGACTACCATATCGTGTATCATTTGTTAACCCTGAAGGACTGGGTGAAAAAGTGGCGAAGTGATTAGTTTATAACATAGTATCATGGTATGAAATATAGCTGTATAGGACTAGGATTTGTCTTAGTTGATGTATCACAACTCTATGGTCGGAGCCCCAGTGATGGTACAACTCAATAACTTGAGACACTAATAGATATGATTGATTGGCGGCCGTGCTATTATACTTTTCATAATTGTGAAATGGTCTTAACAAGAAGTCTTCTCTGGAGTATCCTTAATTGAGTTGCATCTTTCATCAGGCATCATTTCTGTTTGGTTATTTACTGACTGTACTGTTCACGTCTTTTTTTATTCTTCCATAATACTCTTTATTCGTTTTTGTGACGCTAATATCTTGTCCCCCACCATAAATAAATTACTGATTAGTAGCTAATGTTACGTTTAGGTAATCATTATCACTGATAGAATTCTATCAATCAAGTTGCTTAGATATTAGGTGGTTGGAGATAGTCGACGGGAATTCCTGCTTGACCTAGTTTTCGTATCACATGTTATTCGACTACATTCAGTTAAAACTTATCGGTCCATACATTTGAGTTCAATAAATTCACTACAAAAACTCAACAGTTACGCAATAGCACTGATGATAATGATTATCTTGCTTTTGATATGTCTGAACTTCACGTCACATGACTTCAGCTAGTAACTTCGGACAGCTTCATCTAAAGGTAGTCATTGTTGATCTCAATCATTAACGAAAGTTATTTTATCAGAAGGGGTTTGTAGAGATTTTAGAAATTTCACTGATTGAAATCATGAGTCAATTGAAGCTAGACCACCATGGAAATCCTGGAAGTACTGGACGGCCGTTTCGTCCTAGTATGAGACAACTCAGCGGCTGAGGGATCGTGGATGCGCACTGCTGAGGAGTCCCATACTAGGACGAAACGACCGTCCAGTGCTTCCAGATTTTCCATGGTGGTCTAGCTTCAATTGGCTCATGATTTCAATTAGTGAAAGTTATTTTATCAAATTATAAACCGAATCCCCACAAAAATCTCTATACAAACAATAAACTAACGGCAATCCTTAACGTAAAAAATGTAATGAATAACTATTGTGATTAAGGAGAATGCAGATGAGGACATCGAATTTTCTTCATCATCCTGCTAGATCAGAGCCCTATATGCGTTTACTTCCAATCTTTCCTTTTGCCGAAGCAATATTGCTGTCTCCTCGTCGATTGCTCGTTTGTCGACTTCTGCTCCCTCTTTTATCACGTTGATTACCTTTTGAAGTTTAGGGCCAGCTTTCTGCTGCCCGGCAAGTCCTAGTAGGCCTCCCTCTATATTGTTCACTTTGTATGCTACCAATGGAGGCTCGGCTCCCATGTCTGGTCTCGACAAGTAGTCAGCCATTACGCTTTCCTTCTCTGGAACATGGCCGATACTGAAGTCGTCCTCCCGCAAACGTATCATTCATCGAGCCAACTTCCCACGGGGTCTCTTGCTGTTCCAAGCACCGTATGGGTTCGTGGTCAGTCTTGATGTGAAATCGTTTACCTAAAAAGTGCGATCTCCATTTGTTTACTGCGGACACAATTACCAAACACTCCTTTTCGATCGTTGAATACTTCTGTTCTGCGGGCATAAGAACGCGACTCGCGTATTCCACCACTCTGTCAGACAGACTCAAGATGGCACCTATACCATAATCACTTGCATCTGTGGTCACTGTAAACTGTTTCTCAGGTTTAAGCAGTCTGAGAGTCAACTGGCGGTTGTCCAGTATGTTTTTGATTTGGTAGAACGTTTGTTGAGAGGTCTGTGTTTACGTAAAATTAGTGTTGCTCAACAACTTATATAGGGGTGCTGATGTTTCATTGAAGTTTTTGACGAACCGACTGTAGAACGACGCCCTTCCTAGGGACTGTCTCAATTTTCTTCTCGAATTAAGTACTGCAATGTTCTTTATCCTTAGAATTTTCTCCAGTAGCAGTTTATGCCCCAACGTGACGTTACCTTTCGCTATCTGAGACTTGTCCTCATTAATTCCAAGTCTGAATTCTTCAATTCACTTTAAGATCACTTTCACATGTTTGGAGTGATCTGTTTCTGTATGGTTGTACACAACTACACAACTACAACCACTCTTATCTCAGCTACTTCGCTACTTTCATGTATTGTGAATGAACGGTACTTTGTGACCGCCTTACTGCTTCTTAAGTCAACTATTGCTTTTGCTTCTCTTAGGAAATCTACTCTTATTATCGATCTCGATAGGCTTGTGGTTACTACAAACGGGAAATTTGTCTCCGCACCACCTACTTTCACGATACCGTTAGACATACTCAACACTAACATGTGCCCTCCAATGATGTTAACTGCTAATGTACATGGCTTGAGTCTCTTACATTGCTCTTTGCCTATTTATGATATTGCTGCCTGTATCAATCAGATACCCTAAATCTCATTTGTTTATGCTTACTTTCGTGTAAACCGTCCCTCTATTTGATATTACAACAACCCCCCGATTCCTTGGGTAGAAAGAACACGAGTTATAACGTCTAAAATATCTGCGCCTTCGTCTTGTTGGATAGTCTATCTCCTAATATCCTGTCCCTCCACAGGCGTAACACTTATTATTCCTGTTATGATTCACTCGTATTGAAGCAATCTCACGCTGCAGCTCCTCAATATTCTTCTCGAGACTGTTTATCTCCTGACTCCCGCACCCACCGGAGCTACTGTTTGGGTAATCAACTGTCGGGTCACTTTCGCCGGTTCACTGATATCCATGGGTTGTGCGGCTCTTACTAGTTTCAGCTGCTGGGAAACGACGGCAGACATTCTCGATAAACTGCAACGCCAACAACTGTACGTCTGACTCCTCATCCAGATTTGGTATCGCGCGGCGCAACAACCTGGTAAGCTTCACAGCCAGCACTAGTGGGTCACCATTGATCGACAACTTATATTATATTTAGCGCAAAATTATAGAGTTGATAAAATAGGGAAATTATACTCCAATTCTTCATTTGCAAAATGTTAATGACCTGTCTCAGGCTTCATTGTTCCTGCATTTCCATACTGGTTGCTTTCTATTCCCGTTCTTCCCTCATCGATCTCAACTTTCTGCTGTCAGGCATTTCATTCCTGACTGGTGTTATATACTACTTATGTCGACATAAGTAGCACACACGACACTGGTTATGTTAAATGTGATAAACGGATACATATATGACAATTATCAAAACAGGGCTTTGTAGAGAATTTCGAATATTACTGAGATGCCTGACCAATCAAGTCTAAGCAGTCAATAAAAACCAAGAATCACTGGACAGGTGTTTCGTTCTAATATGGGACCACTCCTTAAGTGGGTTCGTTACTCCAGTACTATCATCCAACAATTTTCACAAATCTCTATACAGATAATTATAATATGCTCACTAGTGACTAATTTCAGTTGGTGATTCACATCACTCTAGTGAGAAGCCGAAACCAGTGGAGTCCAACCATGTCAGGTGTTAAGTAGTTATTCATAAAGGATATTGAACGATGGCCACACAATATTGTAAACTGATTAAAGTTAGACAAGTACATGATTGAATGCTGGCCTCAGTGACCCGAAAGCCAAACTACTCGCTCCGTGGTCTGAAAGTCTTGGGTTAGACCGTAGATGGGGTCTTCGATTACTTACTTACTTACACCTGTTACTCCCAATACAACTTAGGCCGCCGACCACCATTCTCCAACCCACTCTGACCTCAGCCTTCATTTCCAGTTCCATACAATTCTTCTTCGTTCTTCTCGTATCTATCTCCATTTCCCTGTGTAATATTTTCTTTGGTCTTCCTATTCTCTTTTCGCTTTGAGGATTCCAATTAAAGGCTTTCCTTGTGATGCAGTTGGGTGCATTCCTCAATGTGTGTCCTATCCACTTCCATCGCTTCTTCCTCATTTCTTCCTCCACTGAGATCCGGTTTGTTCTCTCCCACAATTGATTGTTGTTGATAGTGTTTGGCCAATGGATCTGAAGTATTTTGTGTAGACAATTGTTAATAAACACTTGTATCTTCTGGATGATGGCTTTTGTAGTTCTCCAGGTTTCCACCCCATACAATAGCACTGTCTTGACATTTGTATTGAAAATTCTGAGTTTGGTGTTGGTTGACAGACAGTTGTTTTGAGTTGGAGATGTTCTTCAATTGTAAATATGCTGCTCTTCACTATGCACTAGTAATGTGTCTCAGATCGGCACAAGAAAGAATCTTGTTTTACAATAGTTATCTATCTTGAGTTGATCTAAACAAAACAAATGGTAGCTTCAATTACCTTGATTACTCTTTCCAAGTTTTTTTTTTCACCTATCTAATTGCTACAAATATACACAAGTATGCATTATTATTATTATTATTATTATTATTATTATTATTATTACTGTTATTATTATTATTGTTATCATGTGTACACTTGTTACCTGTCTATTATTATTTGAAGATTATGTAAAGTGTGTAAAAATGAGTACTAGAGTGAAATCATTTGTATTTGTTCGTTATTGTTTGTTTGTGTGTGTGTGAATATATTTATTCAATAAATATATTATATCACTTCAATCCAATGCATAGTACAGATTATTAATGAATGACCACATTACAGTGTATTGTATACAAGTTAATTATTTAATAATTTTTAATTCAGTAGATTCATACTTACCATACATAAGTATTTCACGTTCTTCTCCATTTGATTCAGTATAGCGTAGATATAAATCAGCTTTTGTATTATTCTATGCAATAATAAATATGAACAACGATATATTACTTATTAGGATTATTGTTAATTATATTTAGTGGAAATTAATTATTCAATTATTCTCTATTATTATTAATTATAAATGTGATAAATGTGCTAGGGGAATGCTTATTACTGACATCTTAACCACTTCCTATACCACCCCCCTGACTGATTCTATACTTCAATTTTAAACAAGATAGAAAAAAAAGCGAAATATGGGTAAAAATTTAACTATAAGATTAGTCTATGTACAGAAAATCGAGTATTTATAGGATTCCATATGGCCTTGATTTTCTAGAACATCCTGGAAACATATTAACTAGAGTAACGGTATAGGAGATTGTCCAATCAAAAAATGTGAAACAAGATCCTTCTTTTTTTTAGGTTTTTTCTCAAAAGCTTCTATTTAATGAGAATTATATAAAAATTTCCTGGCGTTTTCTGGGCTTCTAGAGACTTTGTCGAGGGATATTTTCGGACAATCTGACAAAATGGAGATTGACTGCTTTCAGAGTATATATATATGAAAACAGTAAACTAGTGTACATTGATGGACTGACTACTGAGTGGTGGCAGTAGTAGTACTTACGAGCGATATCACTGTATTTAGTCATTTAGTGTTGATTGAACCCATCTGATCAAGATGCAGCATGGCCTATAAGTGGTCAAGTATAATCTCCCATCGACTAATTCAACCACTTAACATAAAAAATGAAGTTAACGTAACAATGAGCGCAGTAAACTAATGGGATATATTATAACTTGATTGGGCAGAATTTTTACAGTAATTAAAGCATCAAAGACACAGGACACTAGTTGCCAATATGCAGTTATTAATCAATGTGAATATTTCAGTTCTACAGAAGGCTAGTTATGGACCAACTGACTTAGTGGTAGTGTTTCAGACTGTGAGAATTTATGTGAGTTCGATTCAAATCATTCATAGAAAATCAGTTTACGCAATATTACAAGTACACTTTTACTTCTGTGCACCAACTAGTACAAAACCTGGGTCAATCAGAGTTTCCTTCCGACTATATACAACCATCTAGTGATAAACAAAAATAATCAATGTATTTGCAAATCATTACAACTTCAAAGTTCATACTTTGTTCTTGAAAAAAACAGTAGTAAATTAAACAATATGCAATTTGATGAAATAGTAGCTTCCCAATAGTTGAGGGTGAACTTTCAAAAAACATTTTTGTAACCAAATGGAATCATAATTCCGTTCATCTTCAATTTTCTCAATGGCCACTGTGATTGCGTCGCATTACTAAACAGGTTCTAAATAACTCATACTTTTATCAACATACTGGCCGATTCCGATTTCTTTATTCGAAGACCTGATATGACGTACTAAACTATACTACTTATCACCAATAGGTAGCACATTAAAATGTATTTAACCATTTTTATTGGTTTGTAATGTGTAATAAATAACTTAAAATATCCTTCAACACGAAAACTTATTTCAAAGTCCTTTACAGCGAGACTATGATTTGCGGACGAGCTAATCAGAAGCGAGTAAGTGATTTCAAGATCATAACGCCTACTTCAGTACCCAATGCACACGTACGATCGGTTTACGGTGGATTTCAAGGAGGACATAATAGTCGGGCGACCAAAACGAATGAGTTCTTTCATTTGTGATTTCGGTGTTCAAATGACCTCTGGACATTATGCAGACTATCGTGACGATGTATTTCGATGTAATATACGTTGGAAGAAGAAGCCTGTTAGAATGAGGAATATTTTCACTCGATCCCGATTGACAGTAAGACAGGTTCTGATAATTTTTGAAAACTGGATAACAAAAGCACCAGCAACACTGTCTGCAACCTTTCCAGATGCTGCTGAAGCTCCGGCAGTTCAATAGTACGGGCGCTATAGAGATACATTTGCAATACAGTTGACGAGCTTAAAACAGTCCTTTGGAGGAATCGTAGAAATCGATGAAACAGTCGATAGAAAACGCATATTCAACAGAAGGAGAAGTATTCGAGAAGACTGAATATGCTTTAATTCCTTTAAGTATAGTTAGCAGGTCCTTGGCATATATTATAGTTTATTACAAAAAGAACATTTTCAGCACGTTAGAAACTGACAGTCTGCAACGCTGATAATAATTATAAAATGGTATGTGAAGCCGGGTACAATAATATACACATAGGACTGGAGAGCATGTACATCCCTATCAAGACTTAGTTATATGCATCGTGTCTTTATTTACAAGAGACATTTTGTAGACTTCACAATTGAAGTACAAACCAACAATATGGAAGGAATATGGTCGAGTGTAAAATAATTTTCGCGACACTATCACAATTCCAGAGGTCGACTGTTCTGGAGTTCCTGTACCTCATGCATTGCGATTTGAGAACTGTAGAGACTCTTTCTGACCTTAAAAATTCTTTAAACCAAGTCAAAGAAGTGTAGCTGCTCTAATGTTTTGGCTTTGTATAACATATAGTTTCTCTATACCAAATTTATTTCAAATTGACTGAAATTTCTCAGGGTCACTTAAGATTCGTTCAAAGGTTGTTCATAAATTATAGTCTCACCCTTCCCCCTCATATGTATGTAGTACATTTCACCAACTTTTCTTTTCTACTCAAATATAAAGTTACCCTTCTCATTCATCCATTTTTGTGTACCATACTTGATTTGAAACAAGGTTGTTGTATATATTTAATTATAATTATGTTTGATCAGCCATCTCAGTTTTACTTCTTGTTATTTCTTTGATGATAGCAATTTTATTCTGATTAAATTCTTATTTTGACGGCTATCTTGATTACCTGACTTTGATTGTTCACTTGTGAGTTGATTCATCCATTTTTTCATTTTTGATATATTCTTTTCGCACGTTTCCAGTTCATTTTTTTAGATAAACGAACTTACCCTTTGTGGTTGTATACTCTCGATGTTAGGAACGATGTCTAAATATCCCACGATTCCATTTTTGTACATTCTGAATACTTTTTTTAATTTTTAATAATAGAGTATTGTACCTTTAAACAAGTGAATAATATTCCATCTCTTGTGTTTTTTTATATGAGGCCATAAAAATTTAGAATTAATTTAAATGGTAGGGGTTTTTTTCGAGGAGGCTGTTGTAACAGATAGATAGCAAAGGAATCCCGGGTGCCTATTTCTTTTTATTTCGAACTTTTCAGCTTTATATACAAACCAAATCCTAATGTTTGTGTTTACATTGAGACTCAAGCTCCTTGCGCAGTTTATATTGAACTACAACTGAATATAGACAGTTACCATCTAACCGACTAATTACAATCTCTGAATTTCAATAACGGGAAATTATAAATCCTTATTAACAGGTATCACAGAGTGTAGTTTTTTATAACTATAATGTTTACTTATGAACTCATTAGACCGATTAAAATTAACCAAGTTTATATAAGTCTCACTTTGTTTGAATAATATCTACACATATAGAGTTATTTGTCAAATTTTCTTACCTATCAACTATAAGAAAACTGTTTTATAAGTTTATATACGGTACTAGAGAATTCTCACCGTATGCTCATTCTTACACCGAAATCATAGGTATTATCAAAAATAGATTCTAACAAATGTATTTTTTAAAAACCATTTACTGATAGACAATGAGTTGATAATATCATTCATCATATAATTATAACCTTCAGGTTTAAATCATGAGTTGACTGATTTTAGTCAGACCATCACTAAAAACGCAGAAGTAGTGAATACCAGTTCCATCACTGTATGGGGCTCATCACCAATATACATTCAAAAGTTCATCAGGTATCAAATTCAGAACTTTTAAACCTTCAGCTGAACAGTTACTTTTTAAATCACTGAATTGACATCCAATGATATGCATTTTTTAATTTCAGATGGTTTACATTATTATTCACTGTTATTAATAAAATTTGTTAAACATGTAGAGCACAGAGTTTTAATATACTGTTTATTTAAATGTCATGAAAAATCTAAAACTACAGAATTCATTCCCTGTCCCCCACCGTCTTGTCCAAGATCATGGATACCTCTTGTTCAAATAGTCTCAAGATAGAATGAAACAATATCTGTCTTGAACTTATTAGATATTTGTAATCCATTCAAAATAAACTGATTTTTTACACATATGTAAACTATATTATCTCATTAAAAAAATGTTACATAATCCACTTATTAGCAGGATATAAATTGAATTAAGCCATGTCCAGTGAAAAATTATGTTGTGGCATGTTGATTAGCTATTCTTTTTAAACGAATCAACGCTAGCACATACTGGAAGAAGACTCTAGAATCCTTTCATGTAAAAACTATAAATATATACTAACATTTTTTCTTATTATGATTCCTACTTCCATCCAGCCTTCTTATTTATTATTTGATTACGTTCCTATTCAATTATATTCTAATTTGGGGACTTGTCGATTAAATTCATGTTCAAGAATATTAAGCAATAAGAAAGAGTAGCTAAATTATAATAAGAGAAATGGTAACATTATTCGTTAATATTCATAATCATTAAATGATATTCATTTAAACATCAACTTACTACATTAATATTAAGTCCTTCCAATGATTTATCTTTTAAATGATCTATTGTCATATCAACAGAAATATTATGATATTTATATATTACCTAGAAAATAATTAATTAAAATACAATTAATTAATTAATTAAAACAATTGATTTTGTTCTTTCAGATGAGTTTAAGATCAAATCATAATAAGAAATAATGCTTATATTATTATTAGTAGTAGTATTTCTTCTAGTCATAGAGATCATTCAATGATTTGATTGGTGATTAACAAAGACAACCACTTATCAATTAATATGATGTTCTTTATTATGATACAGTTTTGATTTGTAACGCTGCGTTAACAGAGACGAAATCAATATCTTTTTCCTTTGTCATAATATTGTTATATATGCGTATCAATTTAGTGAACTTAAATGAAATTCACTGGTAAAAGTACATTATAGTGATGACCTTGAGCGAGTTATCAGCCAATTAGGATATAGTGACTAAGAAACAATATTAAGTAATGTAATAACAGCTTTTATTGTAATAAATAATATTTTCAACAGTTGAGACCATGAGTCAATTGAAGCTTGACTACCATGGAAAACCTGGAAGCACCGAACGGCCGTTTCGTCCTATTGCGGGACTCGTCAGCAGTGCGCATCACGACCCAGCCTCGCGGGATTCGAACAAAAGCCCTAACAGTCTCGCGCCAGCCGCTTAACCAACTAGACCACTGTGCTGGCATCCGACGGTGTTAATGTCTAACTTCGAATCTCACGAGGCGGGGTCGTGGATGCGAACTGCTGAGTCCCACAATAGGACGAAACGGCCGTCCAGTGCTCCCAGGTTTTCCATGGTGATCTAGCTTCAATTGACTCATAATCTCAATTGTTGAAATTACTACAATCTCCACAGAACCCCTTCTGATAATAATTAATATTTACAAGCCAAATTATCTCTTGTAGTAAAAGAGTAAGTTTGCATATATACTCATATATTAGGAGTCAGACTAATGTTGCCAGCTAGGATTATCGAACCTGTAGAGCTTTCGTTTCCAACTGACATCAGTCGTAAAACAAAAAGGTTCGAGTTAGATTTTTAAGATTTATAAATTAAGGTCAGGGTTAAGCTGAAATCTAATGCCTTGGCACCCTTAGATTTACAAACTTTAGAAACTTAGGATAGAGATTTAGAGAGAGAGAGAGAGTAAGAAAAGGAGAACATTATCTGGCTCAACTCTGGATTATGCAACGAACGACATAAAGGTATGTTACGTAATCTAGCATACGCATAATCTAAAATTCGGCTTTTAGTTACATATTAGATATTTCCATTGATTTTAGGCATTTTAAAGTACCAAATATTGTCAATTTTCACTTGACAAGTAATAAAATGCACGTTATCTACCACTGTACTTTAAAATTAACGCAAAATGTGAAATGTGTTTTCTCAATTCTGATTGGTTAATTCAAGGTCATTGGTATATTATACTTTTACCAATTTACTCTATTGGATTAGAGCTTTAATTGTGATAAAGCCTGTCAAGTTAACTTTTTTGTTTTCTGGGATGAGAATTAACTCTCTGAAAAAGACATTTTGTTATAAGTTTTATAGATTAGATGTATTGACATTATAAATGAACTCGTTAACTGGATGCTAATCATATCCTAGAGTTGATGTTCACATTGAGACTAACTAGTAATGTTATGAACATAATACTAGTCATTGACCAAGCTGGTAATTCATTAGATGAAGCGTTGGTATTCAAAGTGAAAGTCACTGGATTTATAACTCAATGTGAACATCAACACCCTGAATCAGATCCATCTGGTTGATGAACTATAAACAAAACGAAATACGAGTACTTGATTCCAGTGCTGACCACAAGCTATCTATTCTAAAAAATATTCAATAAATGTTTAATATCAAGTTGGACAGGTATTCACCCATAATTATTGATACCAGTATTTTCTTTAGATGGTTGTCGATGTGATCTACGATGCATGTTTCATGTTGTTTACTATTCCTCAGCTGGATGTATCTGTATCCTGGTGTTGATCTTTAAATAGAAACTTATTGTTTTTGATTGGGATCATGAACCAATTGATGCTAGACAACCATTGAAAACCTGGAAGCACTGGACGGCCGTTTCGTCCTATTGGAGCTAATCCGTGTCGGGTAGAAACAGGTATCTACCTCATTACATTGAAAGATTGTCTCGCAATTTCGTGGATTGGTTAGACATTAACACCGTTGGATGTCGGCTAAGTGGTCTATAGGTCAAGCGGTCACGTGTGAGACTGAAGGTACTGGGTTCGAACCCCGCGAGCGGGATCGCGGATGCGCACTGCTGAGGAGTATCACAATAGGACGAAACGGTCACCCAGTGCTTCCAGGTTTTCAATGGTGGTCTAACATCAATCGGTCCATGATCTCAATCAAAAACTTAATAACCTCCTCAACCCCATACTGGAAACTTATTGGTCAGGTCTGAATCTATTTTTAAAATCTGTGACCAAAACCATTAACTTCAAATGATTTAAATGAAAGTCTACAGGAACATTTCACCAACGAAATAATTTTGAAAATCTACAACATTGATCACATGCACACTACACTTTTAGGTTTGGTAATACGCTAATAATATTCTTATTTCTTAATATTTGTGTTGAGAATTCTATACTGTACCAAAATATAATATTGAATAAAGCCATTAATAATAATAATAATAATAATAACTTAAGTGGAGGAAATAATTTATAATAGATGGGTTGTGGTATACAGTGTAATCCAAGAATTGCATTTCATTTTATTCACAACTCATCCATCGAATACACCTATAAACTGATGTTTATGATCATATCAGAACTCGAATCAAGTACCTTTCAATACAAACACCAATTCATTATTCATTCAAACAAACTAATTAAGTTCGAATAAATATTAACTGCTAATAAGAATCAATTTGTACTAACCAACTTATTCTTATAATCCAGATAATTCATACATGTATTTCACAGGTTGACATCATGAGTCAGTTGAAGCTAGACCACCATTGAAAACCTGGAAGCACTGGACGGCCGTTTCGTCCTGGTATGGGACTCTTCAGCAGTGCGCATCCACGATCCCATACCAGGACGAAACGGCCGTCCAGTGCTTCCAGGCTTTTAATGGTGGTCTAGCTTCAACTGACTCATGATTTCAACCTGTGAAATTTCGAAAACTCTCCACAAAACCCACTCTGATCATACATGTATCACATAACCCAATAAAGATAGGTCAACATTCAACCGTACTTATCAACAACTGGATAAATCAAATTCTTACTAATGATAATAATATATCAACAATGACCAGTGAATTGAATTAATTTCCTTCAAATTAATACAACTATTAGTTGTCATGTGAATAATTTTTTTCAAGTACTCATACGTAATAAGTCATTTATGTAATAATTTATGACAGAAGACATAAATTTTAAAATAAAAAGGCTATATATCAAGATCGTATACACACAAGCTTAAGAATTCTGAGAATCGGGATGTTAATTCATCATTTGTCACATGGTTTCAGTCATTGGATTCACAAGACATAATACAAATGATACTACAGTCGTTCAATGTAAACATGACAATAATACATTGACTTTATTCATTTGTCTCACCGTTAAGTTAAGAATAAGAAGTGAATATTCAAGTGTTTTGACAAGCATAAGGTTATATATTGTCAATGTTTAATAAACGTGTGGTCTCATACACTTCTCATCATTTTTGCGTTCATGTATTGGGTCAATGTTGGATTTCAGCCTGTAATCCTTATTGAAGATTTCATTTCAAGGTCAAAATTTTAATATATTTGTTCTTTTCATTTGTCTTGTTGATAATATATCAGTTACATTTTCAGCTGTTTGTCTATTCGTACTTTTTCATTAAGTAGTTATATGAATCAAGGAGTTAAATGTTCGCGCGCCAAACCGATGATTTGGGTTTGATCCCCTTATGTGGGGTAGTGGATCAGCACTGCTGAGGAGTCCTATGCTAGGACAAAACGACCTTTTAGTGTTTCTAGGTTTTTAATGGTGATCAAACATTGATCGGTTAAGTCTTGCTTTCAAGTATGTCTAATGTAGAATCTCTAACAATTACATTATGAAAAAATAACCATTAAAAATTAGAAAGCATTGAATATTTACTTCGGTCTTATCATGGAATTCCTTAGTCATTTGAACCCATGACCCTCATTCTCCCAAGGGTTTGAACTCACTACCTTTAGGTTTCATCGCAGTGAGTTCTTAATCCATAAACTGCTGTGTCTACGCCTAAGACTACATTTCTAACTTCAATCAGTTTATGACATTGTGTAAGTATCTTCCGATGGCACCATAATTGATAGATAACTATCTCACAGTCGACATGGTTGAACTCCATAGATCACTGCTTCTCAATAAAACAACACGAAATGACCTTTAGAAATCATTGGTGAAAATATGATTACTATTTTTAGTAGTATAAATGTAACTACTAAAAATCACTCTTGTCACAAACGATTTATTGATCAACGTAGGTGAACTTACTTGATGATTTGGAATTATCTGATTGATCACCTTCACATTGATCGATTTCCCATAGAATATTTGTTGACTTTTTCGAATAGATCTAAATTAGTAAAGTAACAGATGTTATATTTTGTTATGATTTATACGTGTAGATCGTATGAAAAGAAGAAAAAGGAGATCATGTGATTCGGTGACAGAATAATATTTTGAGTGCCCCCAAATACCCTGGTATGGCCGAGAGTGGGATGGGTCCGCCCTCCCTCTCGAAATACTCTCACACGGCCACGCGTATACAGCCTCTGCCAGAGAAGTCCTACTCACTGCCTTCTCGTGGTGGGGGTGTTGTTTATGAAAATGAGAGGACGAAAAGCGAATGTCCGGCACTTTAACCGGATACCAAACCAATGATCCACATGGGCTCCAGTATCCTGCGGGAACAAATGGCGTATGAACCAATCGTTGGTCACCGCTACCATGGGACTGCATCTCCTTACGATGCTCCACTGCCTTACGGGTCAGACCTTTAGGTCAAAGGCTCAGGGTGTGGCCCCCTAAGAAAACCACCTGCTTCGGTCTGGGCACCCGGGCAGTATCACAGCCCTCACACAAATCGGATGATTTATGTGGTGCATATCTACTTGGTGCCTCCTTTTACCAATGTTTATGTGTTTAAATAAATAAATAAATATTTTGAGTAAAAATCTGACTACAAATTACGCCTACATTTATGTAAATCAGACTAAATGATCAACTGATAGTAATATAAATGTCATGTTCGTCTCAAGTCTTTAAAGTGTTGATCGAATTTTGTAAATCAAGTTGAAATGTTGTTAATAGCCTAAGTAACTAGACAATGCGTACACTATATTTTGATGTTATTTGGTTTGAGGGAATCTTTTCTAAGTTATGGATCAATATTTCGTGCTCTTTAACACTCGTTAGACAGATGTGTATATTCCAACCATAAAGAGAATGGATGATCTATTTCAAGATTGAAGATTTATTTCACCAATCAGTACCAAATAGTACAAAACATAGTACCAGGGTTCCCTATCGATTATCTTTAACCATCTCACATATATCCGCAGGTCAGTCACAAACAACGTAATACCTGCCCCATATGTGTACCGATCCGATTTCCCACAATACACCAATACAGTGAGGTCAAATTAACGAGACATATACCAGAATCGTAGGAGTAATAACAGTATTATTGACGGTAGAAAAGATTAGACACAGAAGATCTCGTTCAAGATAATTTTAAAACTAAAAATCTAGGAGCGGGCAAAGAGTGAATAGATTCAGGTTATTGTGATTCATCCTTAGTCATGTCACTAAGGATCTTTAATAACTATTGAATTCAATAATCGCGAGGACCTCAATCTAGTAGTCCGCACCTACCAGCACAGTTTAAATCAACAGTTTAACTTATGCATAAATGTTTTGTTTAAATTTGTGTACTCATAAGAAAGATTGTTCATATCCTTTGTTACAGTCTAATTTTCCTGAACAACCTTCCATCGAGTTTTTTATAAAACTGTTTTTATTATAATGTAAAAATAAAGTTTAATTCATATTTTATGGGGGATGGGTACCGATACACCGATACAAGCGTTCTCTGCGTAACCTCATGGTCTTGTTTCCAATTTGTGGTTTAGTCGTACTTGTATGCATTCTTATAGAGTCCTATACTTAGATGAAACAGCTGTCCTGTGCTCTAACTGAGAGTATTCTATAACAAATATAACTTACAAATTGAACAGATTGAACGCAAAACTCCTTCAAATAAAATAATTATTTTCACTGATCAAACGTGTTCATTTGTATTTTATAGATTGAATACTAAAATAAGACTTATAGTTGGCATTTAATCTGTTCTGTGTATATTAAGCAATCAACTTTAATTTTTCCGAAAGTAAAAGATCTATGATTCCTTCGCATTCCACACTGATATTTTGGCATCGCTATAAATATTTTGTCGTGTCTAACTGACCTTATTTTGATAATCAGTCTGATGAACTGTAACTTAAACTACCCAATTAATTACCTACCAACTTCTACTGAACACAAATATATAATCAGTAGGGTGTGTGAGGAAACCGTAGTATTTTAAAAATTAAATTCACTAGTCGATCTAAGCTAGACCACCAATGAAAACCTAGAAGCACTGGACGGTCGTTTCGTTCTAATATAGGACTCCTCAGTAGTACTCACTAGTGACTAGCTCCAAGATGGATTTACTGGGGTTGTATTGAGAAACCGTGACCAGTGAATTTTAATCCGTATCCGGTACGAGATAGTTATCTGCCTCAGACAATGGATGAAGGGTTGTGCAAGATCATGAATAGATTAAAGTTAGGCAGTAACATCGTCTGATGCTGACTCAGTGGTCTAGAGGTAAAAGTTCGCGTGTGAAATCGAAGGCCCTGGGTCGGAGTTCCTTTGGTTAGGGATCATGGATGCACACTGCTGAGGAGTCCCAAACAAAGACGATACGGCCGCCCAATGTTTCTAGGTTGACAATGATGGTCTAGCTTAGATCGAATCGTAAATTCAACTGTTAAAGGACAAACATATAAATCGAAAAATAAAAATGAGCAAAACAATTAAATCAACTTACTCATTGATCATATGTCGCCATTTTTCACAAAGATTATTATTTGAAAAACGGATTGCCCAATTTTCCATTGGTGGATGCCCAATTAGTAATAACATATCAGTATTATTAAATGTATGATTATCATTTGATGAATAAGAAGATTTTGATGTTTTTATTATCTCTGTATCATTAATTAACTGATTACATTGTTCATTGAAAGTAGGACTATTCAATAGATCAGCATCTTCTTCTAATATGCCGGATGATGAAGAGATATTATATTTGCTTAAATGATCATTGTCAATTTCGGAATTTTTTCTATTAGGATTGAATTTATTATGGTGCTTTAATGATTTTGACACATATATTGATGATGATCGTATGCATAATAATTCATCAAGTTTCATCGAATCACACCATAATTCATAGAATGGAATAATATGCGCCAAATCTCCATTACATACAAATGATTGTGGATCTAATGGCCATTGTGTTAAGACAAGATGATCAGAACAAAGAAAAATGGTAGATTTTTGTGATTGATGTATAGTTTCTAAATTTAAATGTTGTTCAACAGGATAACGAGGAAGCTGAAATAGACGAAAATCGATGGACCAATTAAGAATTTCTAACATTTAACTCTACATTTCAATCCCAACGGAATGTTATTTACAGTACGAGTAGATTATTGGCAATACGTCTCTGACTGTGGCTGACAAACTGAGAGATGAATCTGACTGAGAGAAGCAGTTTTTCCTTGATTATGGATACGCATTACTGACGACTGCCTGAAAATAACCTTCAACTTCTGATGGAGTTTTGTTCTCTGAGCTGGACGGTTTGGTCGTGGAACTTTCATCGTTCTTCTGAACGACATCACCAGCACAAACTTCAGTTGTGCCGACTGTGAAAAACACCACATCGGACAAAGCGTACGCCCCCTTGACCTTCGCCTACATGAACATCAATTAGCAGTCAAACGCCATGATATTTCCTCACTTATATCAATACACGTGGACAACTGCGGACACTAATTCGATTGGAAAAATGTGTGAATCTTGGACAGAGGAAAGTCCAAAAACACCGGAGAATTTTTAGAAGTCTGGCACTCAGGTCAATCAGCAATCAAGAAGCACATTGAAATCGATTCAATTTATCAACCAATCAGGATAATTATGCACAAATATAGGAACAAAAATCAAACCGATGGGAGACACAACCAAAACAAAGAAGTAAACAATGACAAATTTAAGGTCATTAAGAACCAATCAACATCGAGTTGTACAGGATAAGCTGTGAAACGCATATGGAGAAATTCGAACACTTCACTTCTATCTGAAGCTTGTGCTGATGATGTCGTTCAGAAAAACGATGAAAGCTCCACAACCAAACCATCCAGCTCAGAGAACAAGACTCCATCAAAATCCTCCACCTGAGCTACAAATCTTCTCCACCATCTCAAAACCTTCAACTTCAATAACCATTATGGTAAAAGTTTAATTTACTGATGGAGCAAACATATTTAAAACAGAGGCTGTTACATTAGAATGCAATGGCAACTTGTATTTTAGAGCAACATATATAAGCGAACAATATTGTTTTCAATTAGATCTTCATCAGGCTTTGTTCTAGTGTACCCCTCGTGGAGGAGTGTAGGTCGCTTATTAGGATTCTCCAATCAACTCTGTCCTGGGCAATCCTTTCCAGTTGTTCTCAGTTGCTATTCAATCTTTTGACTTCTGCTTGGTCTTCCTTTCTTCCTTATGCCTTCAAGATTTCAAGTTGGGGCTTGCCTCGTGATGCAGTTTGGTGATTTCCAAAATTCTAATATATTTTAGTATACAGCAATATTTATATGCATACATTAACATATAGTAAACCAATCATGACCGAATATTGGGCGTAAAACCGGACAACTGAGCCAACGAGTTAGTGAACACCTCTTAATGTTTGGGAAAGGGTAATAGTCAAAACAATGCAAAGCTCTGTTTTATCACACTTCGTCGATAGCGGTCATGTAGTAGACAGAAATAGGTCATTTAAAATTGATTTATCGTATTACCACTGGTTTTCGTCATGGGATTCGATCTCGTCTACCATACATATTGTAAGCTATAGGGATTCAAGCTAACGATTCAAGTCTTTGTATTCATAAGAAATTTGTAACCCCTTTATCTCTTCCTTAGCCGAATTAACTTTAGCAAAAGACTTTGTTTTTTCTTTCCCAAACTCTTCCCATACTTTTTTCGTTTATTTTTCTTTGATATTTAAAACGAAACAAATAACTATATAAGTAGTCATTTGTACAAAGCATTTTCTCGCTCTATTCCTAATCATTAATTCTAACCAATACATCATTATACACAGACCTTAAGTCATGCAAGAAATTACTCATTTATATAATTTGTATTTTGAATGGCTGAAATTGATTTTGGAGTTCTGGTCTCAACAGGTAGGGTTGGGCAGGAAAAAGGATCAATAAGGACGCTAGGTTGCTCATACCAGTCAATACGTCATAGTTGTAGCACAGTGTTAAAATTGTACAACTGGTATTCCGATTGGCGTGATAATTCACGGGATAATTAGCCGGGCTAAAAGTCACAACAGTTAGTGTTCAAGCTCAATTATTCGTAGTAAACAGTTGAGAATTGATGATACAAGGCGAAGATTAAAGAAACAATAACTCATGAAAGGTAGTAATCATAATTACACTGTTTATTATTCCTTATTTATTGGTAATCAATTATTTACAGCTTATCCTATTTGCTGGGGATGTTAGATCCCCGGAAGTCACTTGATAAACTTCTCGTTTTTGTAATTTAATTATGGAAATTCGATTTCTTCATTTTCGCACCAAAATGCCCATTTTTACCTTCAGTTTGTGTTTTCCGGCTCGAAGAACCTTAAACGTCATTGGTCAGTTTTCTCTTTTAGTACTGTATTCTGTAGTGTTTTTCCAGGATATTTTTGTATTGAATATATACGCATGAGTTTTGTGCATGTCATTCTCTCTCGTAGATTGTTTATGGGACTATATATTTTCCCAGCTGAGTTTGGTCTCTTCCCACCAATTATCAGGTCTGAGGCGGAGAAGAATATCTGATTTTATCTTGTTGTTGTGTTTCTGACTTTCGTTCCGTTCACCGGTCCTAGGTGATATCTTAATCCCTCGAACATAGCACTATTCAAAGCGACTTTTGACTTGTTCATGCATAGTTAAGATTTTTCAATTCATCATGTAATGTAGTCTAGTATCTTTTTAGTATAAACCCACGTATACTTAAAAATTTATTATAATCGAACCTGGTATCTGACTTTTCTTTGAATTTAAAGCAGAGGATAAAGAAAAGCTTGTTGAAAGTAAACCCATAGGATGATATTAGATTACATCGACTCAAGGTTAAAAATGTGGGTAAGACGTATAATTGATCAAGTTCAGAAAATTAGTCTACAGAAGAGATAGTAGATTTAGCATAGAAATAATGATAATAGGAATTCTAACTGGTAACTTTAACACATGATATCGATTAGCATCACACGATATAATACAAATAACTTTCAGATGATTGAAATGAAATATTTAGGGAACATGATGTTCTAATATGTAGTACTCATCCATTAAATGAATAGAAAAATAAGCGGAACTGTTGAATACTACATACTTATAGAAAAATTGAAAATGTTTCAAATAATCTTGAGCTAGATTCTATCAATTAAATTCTTCGTTTATAATTGCCTTTGTTTTTAATGAATTATCTATCAGTTAGAACATAAACAGAACTAGAGAAAATAATTAATCATACAAAGCTTGATTACGATCATATTGAGGATTGAATCCAAGAATTTCAAATATTTCAAAGTGAATTTGTTACTGAAGACATTTCCTTGCATTTAAAATGATCAATTATAAGCAGAAATGGATGGTAGCTAGTGGTGGTATATAGAATCTGCGTTTCTTCTTATTTAAGACTCATCAGATGGATGTGCGAGCATCCCAGAGTTGATGTTTACTGAGGAACTCCTACTCAGTACCGTTGGAATGCAGATATATTCGACTGATGAGTTCCAAACAGGAAATAGAATGCTTGTGATTTAGTGGCACTATCGAGGCGATCCGCACAAGAATGCACATATACCAATAAGAGAAACTGATCAATCACAGTCTTAAACATCACTGGGAAGATCCAAACAATCAATACAAAAGTGAATTAAGACGATTAATGCTTAAAGAATGTCATTTTTTCCCATTCACAGTAGAATATGAATTTAAGAAAATATCAAACTAAAAATTGATTAGCTTGTAAATTCACTGAAATGCATAAAATATTATTGAACTGTTATGTAATAATTCAGTGAAATAGTATTACAGTGTTATTAGTATGTGGAACAGATAAGTAATGAGTGGGAACACAATAATAGTTTGTTTACTTATTTATTTATTTGTTTGTCATCATCTGGATAAATAGTAGCATAAATATTTAGTTGAACAAGGAATATAAAGTGGATTAAAGAAGAATTCCTAAGTATAGACAAACTATTGAGGTGTAATTGATTACTGAATAGTTAGTAACCAGTATCATATTTGTATAAATCTTGAAGTGTTGATCGAATTCAACTAGTATACAGTACCTCACCAACAATTGATCAATTGATGACGTAAGAGAGGAGAGAGGTAAAGAAGTCACGATTTCAAGTAGAAGTTGTTTAGCATTTTACAAAGGTCAAAAAGCTCAACATTATTATTAATATAGAACAAATTATGTTTTACTTAGCAATAAATAGAAACCCTAATATCAGAACGACTTCATTTATTGATAAAAAGATTTTATAATTCAAGATCTTCTTGATAGATTTAGATATTTTCATTGAATTAATTTATAGTCAGAATCTTCAATACGAACATCCAGACAGTGAGTTCTACTGTATGAACCTGAGACTTAGAGAACTACTACAACCATCATCAAAAAGGTACAAGTATTTATAAACAGTTGTCTACGCAAGATATTCAACATACATTGGCCGGATACCATCAGCAACAGCCTTCTCTGGGAGAGAACAAACCAGTTCCCAACTGAAGAGGAAATCAGGAAAAGACGATGGAAATGGATAGGACATACACTAAGGAAATCACCAAACTGCATCACGAGGTAAGCCCTAACTTGGAATCCTGAAGGGAAGCGGAAAAGAGGAAGGCCAAAGAACACATCACGTCGGAAAATAGAAGCAGATATGAAAAAGATGAATAACAACTGGGAAGAGCTGGTAAGGATTGCGCAGGACAGTGTTGGATGGGGAGTTCTGGTGGGCGGCATATGCTAATCCACGAGGAGTAACAGGCGTAAGTAAGTAATTTATAGGAAATAATGATCTAGTACATTGAAAATGAATAAACAAGAAATCAATATGAATATCAACGTGTAAAGATTTTCTTGACTTACTTTAACAATATTTACAATTTCTTCAGCGTAAATCTTTTTCAATTTATTAGTATTTTCATTGTTCCCTGTGATTTTCTCACAATCCGGAATAAATGAACGTAAAGAGATGGGAATTCTGTGCAAAATTAAACAAAATAATAGCATCAACAAACAAACAAATTAATAAATATTAATATGAGGTTGTGAAGATGGTTGAGTTTCATTGAAATCATTAACTAATAAGTGTTAAGCCACCATTGAAAATCTCGAAGCACTGAAGGGCTACTTCGTCCTAGTATGGGACTTCCTAAAAGAGTGTATCCACAATCTTGCACGCGGGACTCGAACTCAGGGTCCTTGGTATCGCGCGTGAATGCCTAACCTCTATATCACTAAGCCGTAATCTAACGGTGGTAATGTTTAAGTTCAAATAATCCACGATATTGTACGACCATCTCCCTATGTTTTCGGTGAGTAAATGCCTCACACTCGAGATCGCGGGTGAGCACTGCTGAGGAGTCCCACACATGAATGAAACAATCGTCCAGTGCTACCAGGTCATCAATGTTGGTCTAACACTGATTGGTTCATAATTTCAACAAAAAATTAATATCAGTTTAGGGGTCTTGGAGCTAGTCACTAGTGAGCACATGGTAATTCTCAGAGTTCTGGTGAGAAGCCGTGAGCAGTGGAGCTAATCCGTGTCGGGTAGAAACAGGTGTCTACCTCAGTACATTGAAAGATGGTCTCGCAGTTTCGTGGATTGGTTGAAGTTAGACATTAACACCGTTGGATGTCGGCTATGTGGTCTATAGGTTAAGCGTTCGCGCGCTCGACTGAAGGCCCTGGGTTCGAATCCCGCGAATGGGATCGTGGATGCGCACTGCTGGGGAGTCTCACAATAGGACGAAACGGCCATCCAGTGCTTCCAGGTTTTCAATGGTGGTCTAACATCAATCGGTTCACGATCTCAATCAAAAAATTAATAAATAAATAAGGAAAAAATTAGTACGAAACATTTTGTTTAGTTTTTAAATATATATTGGTCGTTTCCCTCATGATCAATCTATTAGTCAGTAGGTCAATCAGCCAGCCAACACTAATTCGATCACTTTATGATCCATCTTGATAGTCCGATCTTGTCGTTTAAATTTAGTTTAGGAACTTGGACTGATGAATTAATGTGTCAGGTTTTACGTTGCTTATATAATTACACAAAACTAACTAGTTGTTCTGATGTAAATTTTGTCGACATTATACACTGATAAGTACTATAGGGGATATATTTTTACTTAACTCGTAAATAAATCATATTGTAAATGATATACACAGAGATCATTGGTACTAATACAGCAAAATGGTTTATTCCGATCATTTGAAAAGTCGAAAGGCACACTCATACATATAATATGGAAATTCAATGATTGTAACGTTTTCGAAATCTAGTTTATTACTGCATAAACGATACAAACCATCCAGCTCAAAGAACAAAACTCCATCAAAAACGATACAAACTAATAATGATTTACATACACACTCATATGAATAACTATTTTTATTGAATAGTGAATTTAGAGAAAGATAGAGCGAGAGAGAAAGAAAGAGAGAGTGAACTTTGATGATAACTTCATGAATCCTGAAGAAATAAAACCCAATAAACCTTTAGTGGTCACTACATTTTGACGATTAATTCACATATGATCTATCCTGTGTGCCAATAGCAAGGAACGTATAAAATGACTGAACACTAGATTCGGTTCCTAAGCTCTTCTAGCAACCCCCAGGTTAGATCTACACTGCAGCTTGAACACGAGAGAAAAGGTGCGAAAGGTTCTTTTACGTACAGAACATCTAGGATTTTTATAGTATTCTAGATGTCCTTGGGTTTCCGGAAAATTCTGGAATGATACTAAACATATTAGCAGTATAAGTAATCATCCAATCAGAAACTCGACATGTGACGTTTTACACTATAGATGTCTCTGGCAAAACTTTAAGTGAATGTTGATTAGATAAGATGCTTCTCAGTGTTTTCAGAGCCTTTGTTGGCATTTTTCGAGTTTTCTGGAACTCCCCAACATAAAAGTCACAAGTCCATGTTTTGTCTTGTTTTTAAACAGTCGTTCAATCTCGATATTAGTAGCATTATTAGTATGAAGAGTACATATATTTTTATTATGATAATATCCTCTTACCTGTTTTGATTAGCTTCTATAAAAGTCAATATTGACTTTCTTCTGCATGGTACTAGTCTATTGAAATACATATATATATAAAAACAATATACTATCCACTATTAAATTTTGAACAATATCGACGATTTAATAAAGGAATTCGTTTAATCTTGATGTTGGAAACAAATCAGAAATTTCAAAAATAATTATCTCACCTAAGTAACAGATTCAGTAGTTCAATGTTGTATTCATGTCTAATTTTCTGTTTGTGTGTATTAAGTTTCGAAATTGGAACAAATCAATCAAAACACTAAAGTATCATTATTTATTTATAACATCATTGAGTTTCAGCAGTTTATCCTAAACAGTTCATATTAGAGTCGTAATCAAAGCCTAAATCCGCCTGGAGCCCCTCTGTAGCTACTGCAGGTCCTAAGCTCGGATAAAGGAGGGGGTTGGGCATGGAATTAGCAACCGCATCCCGTAGAAAACTAACCTACTAACAAACATTAACGAGAAGAAAACAATTCAAACCACTTAAACTCTGCCCTGGGAGTTAGAAGGTCTTCATTTAGATGAGTTATGACTCCTCATGGGGAAAGCCGAGTTCCTTCAGAAGTCACGAGGGAAGAGGCGGACCGGCAAAGCAAGTGCAACATATCTAAGATTGAAGAAAATCTGGGACTCAAAACAACTGTCAACCAAAATTAAAGTCAGAATTTTTAATACAAATGTTAAGACAGTTCTACTGTATAAAACAGAAACTTGGAGAATCACTAAAGCCATCATCCAGAAGATACAAGTGCTTATTAACAGTTGTCTACTCAAAATACTTCGGATCCGTTGGCCAAACACTATCAACAACAATCAATTGTGGGAGAGAACAAACCGGATCTCAGTGGAGGAAGAAGCGATGGAAGTGGATAGGACACACATTGAGGAATGCACCCAACTGCATCACAAGGAAAGCCTTTAATTGGAATCCTCAAAGCGAAAAGAGAATAGGAAGACCAAAGAAAATATTACACAGGGAAATGGAGATAGATACGAGAAGAACGAAGAAGAATTGTATGGAACTGGAAATGAAGGCTGAGGTCAGAGTGGGTTGGAGAATGGTGGTCGGCGGCCTATACTCCATTGCGAGAAACAGGCCTAATTAAGTAAGTAATCAAAGCCTGGTAAATTTATTAGAAATTAATTTGGCTTAATAAGACTGGTTATCATAATCAATAAATATACAGATGAATGTAGGTATGCATTAAATGTAAAGTTTACTAAAGTACACTGCTTTATGAATTGAAATTCCAGAGTAAACTATTTTGAAAGGGAATGTTTTTTTAAAGATGTTACGTCTTCTACTTGATTATGGTAGAATACGATATACAACTAACGGCGCTCGAACGTATAGAAACCCACAGTAGCGAAACAGAAGACGGAAGAAGCAGGGGAAATGATTACTATTTACGAGTCAGAAATGTGGGTATTTATAGTCATTGGCATTGGTTATAACATCGGCTAATCTGCAAGGAGGCGAGTTATGCTATTGTCCAGTCGTAGCATGCTACATGAATATTCCAGAGGCTCTAGAGGCTTCGTCATGCTTTCAAAGTCATCCCAACTTAAGGCTATGAAATTAGTGTTAATACTTCCGACTTCCTCCCCCCTCACCATCCGCCATTCACCAGTAACCTATCAACAAGCAAAACTGTCGTTTTAGCCGGCCAACAAAATGCCTATTATCGGACCCATTCGAGTACCTAATTTGGTTTGGCATGTCAACGGGGAACTAATATGATTTGCCGAGAGATATTCATTGGTGTAAGATTTTCAACGCAAACAGAACTCCTTAGACAACTGAAAACTTATGAGAATGTGACTTCCTACCATTTACATAATACAAGACATTCATGGAAATCCAAATGATTTCTGTATAAAATATGTATATACAAATGAATTCGTCATCCAAAGTAGTAGAAATTTGTGAATGTTTGTTTCTCCACAACCCCACTCCATGCGTAACTTTGTCAGACTAAATTACAGATTTTTATTCATTTCAATTCTATTAGCTTGTTCAATAAACCTTTAGATTGAAACAATGAACAACCATTCAGAAATAAGTCAGATTCCTTAAAAGCCAAAATAGAACGTAGTCTGTCGAATATATATTATTTATTTTCAGCAGTGAAAATCATCTCAGATACTTAAGTTAATGTAAATTCATTTTGTATTGTTTATTTGAATCTTCCCATTTATAGTTGCGACTGCAATTAATCAGTCTCTTATTGGCATATGTGCATACTGTATGGAATGCCTTGATATTGGATTAAGTCTCAAGCATTATAAGTAAAGATGGATGGTGTCTATCAGTGGAATCATCCTATTTGGGACTCGTCAGCTGGTTCGAGTTCTGGAGTGAACATCAACTCTGGGATCCAGGTACATCCAACTGACGAGTCTAAATCAGGAAGAAACGCGAGTCCTCGATCCCATTGCTAGCCATCATTCATCTTTGATTCTAATACTTAAGATAATGATTGAAATTTCAGGTTTATAAATAAAAATTTCGAAAGGCATTAGAGTTAGGGATAACGTTTGAAGACACTGCTAGACTCCAACTGCAAAACATTATCCAAATCATAATCTAAACTGTTAAACTGTAAATTTGATTCTGTTTGTTAAACTCTGTATCCTAATGTTATGCATTATATTATGCATTATTATATCATAATTTATACTTCTTCTTTATTAACTCAATATAGGAGTCATACATTTTTATAGGCCATTTAAAGAACCACTCAAGTTCACCCCTTATTCTTTCAGTACATCTACAGTTATATATAGTTATTTAGTTTTTTCAATAGTACCAACGAATTTCACAGCTGATGATGACCAAACTACAAATCAATTACTTGTATAAATCACAAATACATGTATCTAGATTACACTTAACTTAGATAGTTCGATGTATGTATTAGAGTTGGAAAGAACAAAAGAGAAAGACATCATTGACATCATCATCATCATCATCATCGTCATCAATAAATCAAAAATAGTGAACCATCAAAACACCAGAAAATCTGTCGAAAAAATATAAACTCTTACTTCCTTTCAGTTGAAGCATTTCTAAAAATTATAGCACTCAGTGTCGTTGTAGTAGCTGTTGTTGCTAAATATGACGATTCCTTTTCGTCTATCTGTATAAATTGAATAAGTGAAACAAAACATCTTTGTTTCTACATATCTTTGACGTCAATAAAGATAAACGTTATAGCATTGGAAAGAAATTGAACAATTATATTAAGATAACTATGTGATTTCAAAGCTTTTTTTCAAGTCAGTCAGTAGGAAGTTCCCATACATCGAATGTGTTTTGTGGTAGAACTAAGAAACATTAGTTAGAATTCAATGATTCTAGAAAGTTTATAATAAATCTGTTGATTGAACGCTTGAATCAGTTTCCTAAGCTCTCCTAATAATCCCAAACAAAACTGAACAAGAGAAAAAAAGAGAGCTTTGCTTCAGTAGTCGTTTGTGTCCTGGAATCCTTCTAAAAATGGTAGTAAGAGAGTTAATTATCAAATCAGAAATGTGACACGTAACTCTTAACTTCCTGAATTTTTCTAAGAAATTTCGATTAAATGGTAACTGAATAAAATATTTCCCATGGTTTTCAGAGCCCGTTTGAACATATTTTCAAGGAATTTTCTGCGTTTCCCCAATAGTTTGCTAGTTTCTCAAGGTTTATTATTAACTGAAAAGTAACTTTGTCAATTCTGATTATCTAATTCTTATATTAAATATTCTTTTCCATTATTTAATCGGTGAGACTATAATTTATGGATGACCATTGAGCAACGCTAATGTGACCTTGAAAGTATCCACCTAATAACTAGGATCAAATAAGGTTTATAAATCAATGTGAGGAATTAGAATTATGATTTACAGTTAATGGTTAAGGTTAGGAATTAAATTTAGGGTTTTTTCATCACGAACTAACATCAGCTATAATGCCAAAACTCTATTTAACCAAATGAATGAGTGAATTTCGTGCCAAAATCCGAAACCTGTTATCTCGTACCTGATTGGTTCGTTCATAAATTATAGTCTCGCCATTTAATCTACTTTTATAATGTAACAAAATTGTACTCAGGTTATTTACAATAAACAAATGAATAAATCGTACAATACAGTTGCTATATCTGAACGAAGAATTAACGAACGGTAACTGCTAGGATCTATTTATAGACTGTTATTATATATATTCTTATTGTATGACTATTAAGTAACTAGATTATATATATATATATCATTATAAGTTTTCATTTGACCTACTGACTACTATTATACGACTTACTATTCTCAAGTTATACCTAGTTTACTAATAACAGTCTCTCACAATCACAGCCATATTTTTTGGCTTGATCTCGTACAATCGTTATTTTTTATTTATGGTATAATGTGGCCTGGTTGGCTTGCATGTAAATCAAGTATATCTGAAATACACGATACATACAGCAAAGTCTGATATTGGCGTTTTGGACTGAACGAATCGAGCTATGCGAGAAACTACTGTATCAAGGACCAATGAGGATTCAGAGTTGACTCAAGACTACTAGCGCTGTGTTGATGCATAATTGGTTTAGTACAGAGACAAGGTTACAGAAGTCCGTATTCTAATTGGTGACTTTTATCACGTGATATGTAACAGGCCATAAAATGTACACCACTCTTTATAATTAACAATGCATTTTAAACATTTTTATTGTTGTTAAGATCTGTAATTGAATTAATTTACTATAACTTAGTGACTCAATTACAATGCCATCGGCTATCCTATTTATCAGGCTGTGATACTATTCGGATATACAAAATTGCAAATAAATAAATAGTATTGGATACCGATTCAGTAGTCTGAGAGTTAAGAACCAGAAGGTCTGTAGTTTAATCCCATGTAGAGTTGTGCATGCGCATATTAAAAATGAATGTTTACTTAAGTAAAGAAAATAATGATTTAATTTAAGACTTACTTGTCTAGATGATATGTTCAATTCAATTGTAGAGATTGCTCGACGAATTAATTTTTGAATAAGATCCATCTCTCGTCTATCCCATAAACCACCAATTAATTGTGTTTCATCATAACGTTGTTCACTGCATGTTCGCTTTAATATTTTATGCGACATTATTGGATTATTTTCAAGACGTGCTCGACGTGATCGATAATCAGTTGGTTGTCTTACTGGTGAATGACTACGACTTGGTAAAATATCAGATATTAATAGATTCTCTAACCAAGATTCAGCTAAATATAACTCTTTTAAATAATCTGCTATCCGATAAAACTTGAAACAAACAAATAAAAAAATGAAAGAATAGGTTTATAAAAACAAACAAATAATGTTTAATTAGAACACTTAATATGAATACAAAGATGATAAATAGGAGTGAATAGATTGTTTGTGTGACAAAACAAATAAGTGAGAAGATTATTAATTTAATAGCTGAATTCATGAGTTGATCTCAGCTAGACCACCATTGAAAACCTGTAAACACTGAACGGACGTTTCATTCTAGTATGAGACGAGGAACTAGAAGTAATAAAACATGTGGAGTTATTCTTGAGTGAATCACTTTGTATAATGTATAACATTTATTTGATGAGTAGTGCATTTATGCCGCTTCTATTGTAGTAAGCTATTCTTTGACTCATTAATGCTTGTCAAATTTGTTACTTTACATAATTTACCAGTTAATTACTTATTAAATGTATTAACCAGTTTCATGTATAAAAAATAGCCTATTTATGCATGTAGTTTGATCTAAAATTTTCTTTGGCATACTTCTTTTTCTTATAATTTATAGATGGATAAGCACGTGAGGTGTTGGCTCTTAGTATCCTAATCTGCGGATTGAGAACGTGTTAATCTTATGTGGGTTTATTGACCGTTGGGGTATATGCAGTATGAGAGTTAGTGGATTCAAGATAATTAGAGTAGGCGGAAAGTACAATTTTAACCACCTACCTTGTCAGATGGACCTATTTTTATCAAAATGAAAGTTACTCAAATAGAGTGACTCATTTAATCAAGAATATAAATCTAAGACTTAACCTAGTGTTACTTTCACGTTGAATCATCTCGTATAATTGGTAACTTTGATATATACTATAAAATACTGTCTAAAATCTACAGTTACCATGGTCTTAATTCTTTACTAATGACTGACATTATCTGATCATGCGACCATATTGAAAGATTTTCTGATCTCACAGTCGCTTCACAGAGAATTCATGAGGTAAAGCATATATATTTTGAATAATACATCTGAATCATTAAGAGTAACTCATTGAAAGTAGTCATTTCATCTCGCGCTCCCCCCCCCGAAAAAACACACTAAATTTTAAGCCATATTCATCCAGAAGTTAGAAATCAAGTTGATAATCCCATCTAAGAAAAAAGAATCTTACACAAAAATTCTAAACTTTCAAAGATTGTGATGTGTAATTTTTAATATAATTGTTATAAATTTCGATAGTTTACTTAGATCACCTTCAAGCCAATTGTTATTTTCATGATCATATGATTAGTGAATGTGAACACATCAATCGGAACAACAAATATCAATATCATTGATTTGCTGAATATATATATGCATTCAAGAGTATTGATTTTACATTCCAAATAAAACGTAAACCTTATAAAAATTAATATGGATTTCTTTATCTTATCATGATGTTTTTTTTAAATTGTCCTAGGCTGAGAAGGAAACAGATTTTTATTCCTAGCATCTAAGTAATGCTCAATCTATAATATGGCATGAAAGTGTAAAATTCTACTTGTTACGTGGTTGCATGTGTTTACTGCAAAGAAGCTTTGATTAAAGAGAGATAATGTTGTTTTTTGGTATTTAATTGGTGCTCAAGTTACTGATAGTTCATCATGGTGATAAAGGTCTTTAAGTTTTGATGAATTACATACGAGCGACCTAACTGATATTGAAATTATGTTTTAGGTAGTCAACAAAATGAGTTTTGTATCTATATTTTATGAGGATATAGTAGCTAGGCTGGGTCAGATCTTGTTGCTAACTAATGAGTCTAGTTATAAATATAAATAGTTTAGATGTAAGTATCGTTGAGTTAATCAATAAAAAAAAACCCAGCTATTCTGTTAGTTAACATATCAAAATAAAAACAAGGACTCATAAAATGGACACTGAAATAGTATTAGTATGGATTTACATATTACTGTTATTGATATTCAGAACTGTAATTAATTAATCTCTATTGTTATATGTAATTTACGACTTACATCTAAATCTTTCTGTTCCATAACTTTTGTCCTACCAATTTGTTAAAATCAGTTTTAAGCAATGGTCTATCAGTGTCAGTATGTGAATAACGTTGTAAATTTCACATCATTTAAAAATAAGTGTTGAAATTTTAAACAATTTGGCATTATGTTACAATTGTTTAACAGTGGACTGTTTTTATTTGGAACTCAGTTGTTAATGACTATTTACAGTTATCAGTTAAGTTAATAACATATTAAGCGTTTAAAGTGAAAAGTAATAAGTTTGAGTTTTGTTATAATTTTTCTTATTAAGACCCAGCTATTCCATGTTAGTCTTGAACACTAATTCAATCGAAAAGTCCCCAAATCAGAACACGGTTGAACAATAACTAAATTATATTCCAAATAATAAGGGTAGATTGAAGTAGGAAGCATAACAAGAAAAAAGGTTAGTATAATTATAGTTTTTACATGAGAAGATTCTAGAGTCTTCTCCAAGTGTCGACAAGCGCTGATTGGATACGAAGTAGTCAATCAGCATGCAATAACACAATCGTACAAGAAATGTGCTTAAATCCAATCTATGTCCCGCTAACAAGTTTCAATTTAAATATCAACATTGAAATGCATGTACATTCAACTGGCGAGTCTCAAATCAAGTGAAACAAGAGTCCAGGATATTATATAACTAAGTACATAACAAATACATTAAAACTAAAAACAGTATAAAATGCTCCATTTTATACTAAACATCACTTAATGTGAAATCAAAACCTACAAAAAACAAATGATATTCTAAGATGATCATAAATTTGTCTTTAAAAAAATAGTTTACACATGTTCTATATGATGACATACATGAAGTGTAGAACGTAATAATAAATAGTCTAATCAATTGTAGTCAATTAAGTACTTCCAATATGCTTTCATTTTTCTCTCACTGAATCATTTAGATGTATCACACCGGTTATGATAATAACTAGCTAAGTGATGATAAATAATGACATGTGATTTCTATGAGATACATAATTATTTATGCATTATTTTGGAAAATTTTATCGACAATCCACATGATTCTAACTGCCATACATTAAACTACATTGACAAAAGTCTATTTAACAAGAGAAAGTAAGATGAAATAATGTTCATAGTTTAAATTATGAAATGATCTTAGCTAGAGAACTACTAAAAACCATGAATCATTAGATAGTTATTATATTTTAATGTGAGACTTTTCACTGATAGTGGGTATTTATGACCCCTGGAATAGAAGGCCAAACGCAGAACCATTCGTTTCTTACACAAACCTTTAATCCCTAGACTAATAACCCGGTATCCAACTGTGTACAGTGAGTAGCAGTCTAACAACCAACATGATTGAAGTCCATTGTTCATAGATTCTCAATAGATTCCCAGGAATCGCACATTGAATCTGGTAGCTAGTGAGTACGTGATAAAATAAATTGAAAAATATCCTATTTTAAATCTTGAGTGTTCTAAGTTTTTGTCAACATAAAAATAGAGGGAAGGCTTCAAAGTTCAACTATCAAAAACTATAGAGTGTATTTATTCGATACTGGTAGTTGTCATCTATTTCTTCTAAGTGAACTACTAGACAAGATAGCAGTCAATAACAGTCAAACAAGAGCAGAGTAAGCTAAAACACAGGCCGAATCCTCAGGAACAAACATGCGTGTGAGGAAGAGTATTAGATCTAACAAGAGAAAATATGTAGGAGACATGGTAACAGAGACTTTGGAGGAAGAACAAGTGCCGATGGATTGGAAAGAACGATACCTCATCAAGATACCGAAGAAAGGAGATCTCAGAAAATATGAGAACTACAGAGGAATCACAATACTATCCGTACCAGGAAACGTTTTCAACAGAGTGTTGCTGAACCGGATGAAAGATTCAGTAGACGCCCAACTAACTCCGCCTGTAGCTCTTATAGGGTTGCTGCCGGTCCCAAGCCCGGGTAAAGGAGGAGGGTTGGGCATGGGGTTAGCGTCCTCATCCCGTAGAAAACTAACTCGCTAAAAAAACGCTTACCAGAAAAAATAATCCAAACCATTTTAACAACCAGAGCAAAAATTTTTATAGGTACATGGAACGTTCGAACAATGTGGGAGACCGGGAAGACAAGTCAAATAGCAATGGAAATGAGGAGATACAACTTAGCAGTACTGGGAATCAGCGAAACCCACTGGACCCAAACTGGACAGAAAAGGCTAGCTACGGGAGAGATGCTGCTATACTCCGGTCACGAAGAGGACAATGCTCCACACACTCAGGGAGTCGCTCTTATGCTGTCCAAAGTAGCACGAAATGCACTTGTAGGATGGGAATCTCACGGATCCAGAATCATCAAAGCATCATTCAAAACAAAGAAGGAGGGGATCTTAATGAATATTATCCAATGTTATGCACCCACCAATGATAGCAACGACGAAATTAAAGATCAGTTCTACGAGCGGCTGCAGTCAATCATTGAGAAATGCCCAAGAAAGGACCTAACTATTCTGATGGGAGATCTAAATGCCAAAGTCGGAATAGACAACACTGGATATGAAGATATTATGGGACGACATGGACTGGGAGAAAGAAACGAAAATGGAGAAAGATTTGCAAATCTATGTGCATTCAACAAATTGGTCATAGGAGGCACAATATTTCCACACAAGCGTATACACAAGGCTACATGGATCTCACCGGACCACACTACAGAGAACCAAATAGATCATATTTGCATCAACAAAAAATTCCGAAGGACAATGGAAGATGTGAGAAGCAGGAGAGGTGCTGACGTAGCTTCAGATCACCACCTAGTTGTAGCCAATTTGAAACTGAAGCTAAAAAAGAACTGGACAAGTGGACAAACAGCAATACAAAGGTTCAATACAGCCTTCCTTCGAGATACTGTCAAACTCAATGAATTCAAGATAGCTCTCAACAACAGGTTCCAAGCCTTACAAGATCTACTGAAAGAAGAAGAAACTACTATGGAGGACAACTGGAAAGGCATCAAGGAAGCATTAACTTCAACGTGT